CTACCATACGCTCTCAAAGGCAACGTAACCAACCTGGCCATTTTCAATGTAAAAATATTTGACCCATATATTTGACCTTGTAACTTTCAAAAATGCTATAAAACCTGTACATGGGGGGTACTGTTTTACTCGGGAGACATCGCTGAACACAAATATTAGTGTTTAAAAACTGGAAAACGTATCACAACAATTATATCATCAGTAAAAGTGCTGTTTGTGTGTGAAAAATGCAAAAAAAGTAACTTTCACTGACAATATCATCGCTGTGATATGTTTTACTGTTGTGAATCACTAATATTTGTGTTCAGCGAAGTCTCCCGAGTAAAACAGTACCCCCCATGTACAGGTTTTAGGGTGTCGTAGAACGTTACAGGGTAAAATACAGTGCTAGCAAATTAAATTCTCTGGAATTTCGGCCTGGGTTGGCAGGCAGGTCCCTCAAATTGCAATCAATAAAATTACTGAATTATGTAAAAATATTACATAAATACGCACGTAGAATTTAAATATATATGCATATTTATATATTTGAAGTCTACGTGTATATTTATATAATTATTTATGTAATTTTGTATATGGACATATGTATATTTCTTATTATTTTTATTTATTTTTATATACATAGATATATATACAAATTCATTCTAAGTGTATTTTGATATAAATATATATATATTAATTTTAAAATACAGTTAGAATAAAATTTCATATAGCTATATAATTTTTTTTTAAATTTTTATTATTATTTAAAAAAATTATTTAATTTAAATTACTTATTATTTATATTTTATAATAATATATATATACAATATATATAGTTATTATATATATTATATATATACGTGTGTAATTTATTATAAGTGTATTTTATATTAATATAAGTACATATTAATATAAAAATACACTTAGTATGACATTATATATATGATATATAGACATATATTATATAGATATAATATATGTCTATATATCATATTTATATATATAATTATTATTATTTTTTTTTTACCATTAACTTTAATTTTTTTGATTTTTTACAGTTGCAGGGAGACTGCCTGTCACAGGCAGTCCCCTGCAGGCAGCACTATGGACACCTATTGTGACCATGTGATCGCTGTGTTGCGATCACATGGCCACAGGGGTCCTAATCTGCCGCGGGGAGACTGTCTGGGCTGCAGGCAGTCTCCCCACAACCGGAGGAACACTGATCGCCGCCGGGGGAACGACGGCGATCAGGTAAGTAGCCCCAGACCGTTTGGACGGTTCAGGACCGTCATCGGTCGGCAAGGCAAAAATGCCGATGACGGTCCTGAACCGTCCTCGGTCCTTAAGGGGTTAAACTCAATTAACTCACCTTGTCATTTTTACTTAACTGTTTTTAAAGGAGAACGGTGGATATGGACTTATAAAGGGACATGCATAAAATACGAATATTTAAATAGAATACCATATCTTAAAAGGCATTAACAACAACACCATGCTGTACCTTTTAAATAACCAGAACCCTTGTTATCTTCAAGAGCTCATAATACAGCAACATATCACTGGGGGAAAGCATAAGCCTTTGCATGACCTTACAGCTTTCTATCAGAAATGGTGAAGTTGAGGAGCACTGCAAGGCAGACCCTAGGTATATGGATAAACCACAAAAAAAAAACACATGATTTAGTGGTTATGGTGCTTGGCGTATCCCTTAAGTTATTTATGTGGAAATTCTTCATGTTTGCTGGAATAATTTTTTTAATATATAAAAATTTTATTCTACACTAATATATGCAGTGATTTCTCACCTTGGCAGCCCAGAGTTTTTAAGCAACATTTCCTAAGATGCCTAGTTTAAGACTCACTAACTGCACAGAATACAGTTAGTTTACGTTAATATATTGACATCCCTATGTAACTTAATTGTGAAGATCATTATACTGTGACCAGACACTAGGGGTGAAATTGGGGCCTGGTTTGATGTGGGTTATTGAGGTAGTACTCATGCTGGCAGTGTTAATATGTGCAATAGGTAGGACAGCACTCAGTGATGTCTCACAGTGTGCCAGAATGGGAAAAGTTCAAAAAGGACCGTACTTCAGTCTCTTTCAATAGAACAATTAAGAAATTAACACATTGCAACTATGCAATTAGATTTGGCGACTGTTTAGTCCATCTAAAGGGAGACCATGCTAGGTTTTGATACTCTTTGCTCCCCCATCCCCTCCTATTAATATTATCGCCATTTTTATAGCACCAACAGATTCCGTAGCACTTTACAATTTTATAAGAGGGGGGATTTAACTATAACTAGGACAATTGCAAGAAAACTTAGAGGAACGCTTGGTTGAAGAGGACCCTGCTCAAACGAGCTTACAGTCCTATGCCCTTCTTTTGCCCCTCCCCCCCGTTGCCTCCCATGCCCTTGCTCTTTTTTTGCCCCCTCATGGGCCCTTCTTTTGTCCCCCTTTCTTTCCTGTGCCCTTCACCTCCCTCCCCCGTGTCTGCTCAGCTTCACCTCCCTCCATGTAGTGTGGCCGAGCGTGCAGTCCATAGAGGAGCCTCTGCTTCCTGTACTCGTTCTGAGAGGAAGTAGTTATTTGCGCTCAGTGAGCACTTCCTGTCAGACTGGGTAGAGCATACAGAAGCTCCTCTACCACAGTCTGCCTGCTCTGCCACGCTACACCACTGCCAGAAGCACACTGTGCTATTAGCCAACATCCTCCAATATAAAAAATATTGTAGTATATTGGTTTTTAGCACAGGATCCTTCTGGCAGTGGTGGAGGTATAATAACCAACATCCTAATAACTTAACTTAGCTAATAACCAACATCCTCCAACAAATAAAAATATATTGTTCAGCTATGATAGGGTACATTCGGCTAGGCAAGCCCAGTCAGATCAAATTGTCAGTTTTGCAGAATGGTGGTTTGGGTGTGCCTAATTTTAGGAATTATTATTTTGCAGGCCTTCAAATTTAATTTTACTAAAAACCTGCACCAATGGTTATTGATCGAAAAGGCAATGTTAGTTCCACATTTAATTGATGAAATTATATGTCCACCTCGCAACTTATGTCCTAAAATTATAAAGATGCTTCTTACTACAAGGATGACATTGAAGGCATGGGATGTAATCCGTAAGGGAAGTCAAGGGAACTGTCTTGTGGTTTAGAGCTATTTTAGAACAGAATACACCAGGGATTGACATGACTTTCTGGGGATTCCTCTCTCTTAATAAATTATGAAGATTTCTTTTCAAATAATTCCTTAATCTCATTTAATGAATTTAAACTAAAACATAACAGACAATACGGTTCACCCCAAAAAATTAAGTAAGATACCTACGCTTGATCAAAACTACAATCATTTAATGAAAACTATTTTTTTTAAATGTATATTAATGACCCAGAAAGAAAACAAATTATTTAATTGTCTTACTCCTTTTTAAATTCTAGGCCCAAAACCAAATTCGACTTTATTGAAGCATGGGAGAGAGATCTCCAGGCATAATTACCAATTACTCCAAGCCGAAGTGGAAGGGTGGTGCTACCATAATAAGCACACAAGCCTCAATACGGAGCCAGTTTTTTTATATACAGGCTCCTTGAAATGTGAGTGTACAGTTAACTACAATATTATTATTTCTGGATTGACATTTTTAACTTCTGCACTATATTGTATCTATTTGTATTTTTGGCATGTACTTCATATTGCACTATTGAACCAAGTTACGTTTGGTAAGCTTTATATGTGTTTGAACGCTCCACTTACAGGTGTATGTCTTTGTCACCTATACCGCACTGTATTTTATATATATTATTTTGTTCTACGTGTATTTTGATATAAATATATATATTAACATCACAATACAGTTAGAACGAAATAACACACATCTATATATTTTAAAATTATTTTTAATTTTCTTTTAATTTAACGTATTTACATATTGCATATAAATATATATATATATATATATATATATAAAACAATAATTATATATATTTAATCAGTATCAGTATACGTGTAATTTGATATTAATATATATACATATATAATTACATATATATTAATAGTAAAATACACCTAGACAGTGTATGTATATGTGTGTGTATCTATATATATATATATATATATATATATATATATATATAGATACACACACACACTTATTTCATATATATGATCTAAATATATATATATATATATATATTTAGATTTTTTTTATTTATTTTTTATATATACTGACTTTAACTTTATTTTATTTGAATTCAGCCAGCAGGGGGACTAACTGTCATTACAGGCAGTCCACCTGCTGGCAATGCAGCAGCCAGCTAACCCGGCCATGTGATTGTGAGGTCCTCGCAAGGACTTCACTCTCACATGGCCGGGGGGGCTGGGGGAGGCAGGATCTGCCACAGGGGACTCCCTGGGATCTTAGGTGAGTCCCCCAACCGCGATCGCCGGCGTAGGATCGCCGGCGACCGGGCAAGTAAGAAAAAACGTAAGAGTACGCCCTCCGGTTTTAAGAGGAGATATGACATATGGTATTCATTTTACAGTATTGTGCTAGATATTTTAAACTGTCATGAAACCACAGAATCTATGAAATTAATTTGTATCAGCATAATTCTATGTGATGTCCAAGTTTCTAGAAGAATGGTTAGAAAAAAAGGAATTACATAAGGACTTAAACATTGTGGCATATCATGAGATAAAAGCATTTTCACAGAAACCGAAAATTGGGTAAATATTTCAAACACAAGGCATATCTTACATTTTAAAGTTTAGAGTCCATTTTTTTTACTTCAAGAGCTTCATTGAAGAAGATTAAATTCTTAACAATATAAAAAGAAAATGTTTTATTTTATATTTTTATACATTGTCTATACACCAGTAAAAAAAAAAAGGACAAACAGAGCTGAACTTTCACACAGATACATTTGTATGTGGGTTATCCTTTAGATTATTTGGAAATCCAAATTATTATCCATACAGTCGTCATTAATAATGTTCCCTAGTTACGCGGCAAAGCACAGATCTCATGCGCAGATGGGCTTAAAGTGACACCGCATTCAGGGGTGAGATCAACCTCTACACCAGGTGGAGGCCGGAATGTAAATGTTTGCATAAGTCTTGTAAAAAACAGGAACAATTCCATTTTAGCCAAGTTTTCCCCAGCACAGCTTCTTCGACCTAGAATATACACACAAAGAATAGTTAGATAAGGTAAGTGTAGGATTCTAGTTTTAATTGTGCTATTTATTGAGTTGATATTGTAATTAAATTGTACCAAAAATAATAACATAATACTATCTATTTTGTGATGAATAGAATAGTTTTGAAAAGTTTTCTTAAAGGAGCAGTTTAAGTACCATAACTACCACAACTCAGTATAATGATTATAATGCACAGATTGTATTGGAGGCATCCCACATTTTTGTAAAACATTTTGCTGGTTGGATGCCATTTATATTGGTAATGCTGAAGTGTATATTCTGCATTATTAATGTGACTGGAGAGAGAGTGAGAGCCCTGTTTTCAGTTAGATTACTCTAAAATGTTTGACAAAACATTTGGAATAGTGCCTATTGCCATTTTCTACCACAGTAGTTATGGTGCTCAAAGTGCCTTTTTAACATCACATTAAAAGCAAAAGGGTTTATTCACTAAACAATTGCGGTAGTAAATTTTAATGCAAATTAAGTCTGCAAAACCGGAACACATTTTCTAACTATTTACTGAATAAGACCTTAAGTACTTTATGTGAGATTCTGTGAAATGTTTTTAACTTAAAGTATCCTGTTTTTCGAGGAAAAAATAAAAGCAGAAAAATAAAGATGTCAACTTATCTCTTAAATTGTGATCTACATATGTGATCTAAAGGATCAAAAATTGCAATATATATATTTTAAATATATATATATATATATATATATATATATTTATATAAAAAGTGTGAGCGCTGCTAAACAATTTAAGATCTTAGAATCAGTATAATCCATATAAAATATACATTTTAATGAAACAAGTACACAAAAAAGAACACAAGCTGCCCCAAAACATAAAATGCAACAATGATATAATTAGTGACATATGAGGTGGTAATGCTGTTTAAACAACTGCCACCTAAAATGTTATCAAGTAGAAAACTCTATCAGAGTGGCATAAGAAATAACTTTGCACAGAATGTAATGACACAATGTATTATCCTAACTGCAGGTCAAAGAAAACTTGACCGGAGTAAAAAAGCAAGCATAAAAAGGGTGTATGTCAACAATATTATGTACTCTATAATGTGCAAAATATTTCCTAAAAATGTTTTAAAAACATCTTATAACATAACAGTACCACAGTAATAACCCTACATAAAATCCTATATGGATATATGAATAAATCGAATACTCCAGTGGGGGTACTTAACAGTGGAGGGGCCCCTCCACGAGACCTGAATCCAATGTATAATGGAGATTACCCTGCCTAGATACTTTGGGTGGATACAGCATATCCTTATCATTTGGAAAGGGGATTGGTTGGAGATTGAGGAGATTGCAATATGTTGGCCAAACCACAAGATCTTTGAAAGTAAGGTTTAGGGAACACAAATATAAAAAAATAAAATAAAAAATAAACAAATCTTCGGTGGCACAACATTTTCTATCTGTGTGCAATAGTAATCCCTTTGAGGAGTTTATATCCCACCTCAATTTGAATGATTGGGGATTGACCTTTACTTACTACAAACATAAATCCAAGATGGATTTTCTGAATCTACTTTTATGGGGAGGTAAAGAGCAGATCTGCACTAAAACCTTTCAGAAAAAGGTAGATGTGAATGGGTTCCTACATGCTACTAGTGGCCACCATCCTACTTGGATCGCCAATGTTCCTTTGCGCCAGTTCACGAGATTACGTAGGAACTGTTCTTCCCTCCATGATTTTAAAGAAGAGACTCACACCCTGAGCCTATGGTTTTTGGATAAAGGCCATCATTTCAGCCAATATTAAAGCCAGGAATCTGGAGAGATACCGATTAATCTCATCTCCCTTACCTGGCTTAGTGGAGGATTCGCTGACAATTCATGACCCAAGACAGGAGTCTTTTATACACATTGAGATCATTCATATGTTGGAGGAAGCTAGATCTAGTACTAAGATTCCTCAACATAAATATAACTGAGTACTAAGGATGTCTCCCACAACAAGGGTCTAATCTTCACCACTGTGTTTAATTGTGCTTTTGAAGAGATTATAGTAATTTTATATAAACACTTGCCTATTTTAAAGCTAGAACCTTGGCTCAAATTCAGTATTCCTGACAAATCGAGGGTCACTTTTAGAAAGAGCAAACTTTTTAAAAATATCTTGGTTCTTTCTAAGTATAGCCCTGAGGGTACTATCGGGCCTAAGAAGAATCACCTAGCAGGGAACTTCAGATGTTGGAGTCTTAGAGGTCTCACATGCACATATAGATTTGTCATAAAACCACACACTTTGGGTCTGCAATGGGTGGAAATTCATTTTCCATTAATGATAGGATTACTTGTAATTCCTTCTTTGTTGTTTACCTTCTTACCTGCAAATGTTGCTTGCAATATGTTGGCCAAACCACAAGAGCTTTGAAAGTACGGTTTAGGGAACACAAATATAAAAAAATAAAATAAAATAAAAATCTTCGGTGGCACAACATTTTCTATCTGTGCGCAATAGTAATCCCTTTGAGCTTTCTGTTATGGGTATTGAACCAATACCAAAAATGATTCATGTCGCTACACATAAAAGAGTCCTCATAGGCGCAGAGTCCAAATGGATATATCCATTAAATAACCTAAGCCCAAATGGGCTTAATAAGGAATTGGACCAACTGTGCCTATGAACAGACTGTTTATTTTTATATTTGGTGCTAGATTTTTTTTGCATATATATTCTGCATATCCGCATTTTCATAGGATATAGAATACTTGAATTTGATACTGTTATAATGCTCATCCATATTCATTACCTGATTAGTTATAACTATAGTGGGACCTTTGTTTACAAATTTAATGCGTTCTCCGGGACGTTTCTTATTGCGAAACATTTGTAAACCGAAAAGCGGTTTCCCATAGGAATGCATTGAAAACCAATTAATCCGTACTGGAGGTCAGAAAAAAGTCAAAATGAGCTGGCATGGAAACCAACCCACAATGCAGAACACACAATAAAAGGTATGCAAACGACAAAGATCAGCTCCCTACCTTTCCACAGCTTGAGAAATGCAACAAAAAGTCACAAAACAACTGAAAACAATTTCCAGAATGGCTCCAAAACTCGATGCAAAATCCGCTCCAACACCTCCACACACAATGCCACGTGCTACCCACAGGCTTCAGCACGCAGGGGGCGGTGCTATAAACCTCCCAGGTGCAATGCATCCTGTGGAAACTTGCTTTGCATTGTGAAAAAAAATTGTAAACCGAGGCATTATTTTCAATGGATTTTCATTTGTAAACCGAAAATTATGTTAACCGAGGCGTTTGTAAACCAAGGTCCCACTGTATTTTGATTAGCTTGTTCTTACTATTCCTACTCTTTAGCCCCCCCCCCTTTTTTTTATAGATTAGCTATGTTAGTAGTATCTAATTGGTGATCATATATTAGTCCTGTATATACAGGATTTGTTTTACATATTCTCAAGTTTTGGTTTTCTATACAGATTCTCTATTAAGTAAATCATTATGTTGCATATGTAATTTGTTAAATAAAATATATGAAAATAAATGGAAAAAATAATGTAATTGACTATTTTACCTGTGTGCCTTTGACTTAAGGGCTATATAAGGTTAATTGCAGACGAGGACGTTGTCTTGAAAAAGTATCACTTATGAGACGAAATGCGTAGATGGTCCACATCTGATTCCTGTACGCTGATTCATTCAGGCTGCTCACTTAACTCAGCTGCGGCCTTTTTTGAAGGTACTGGCTGTGGCTTTCACCTGCTGCCAGCTTGGAGTGTTCCCCCAGCACAGCACTCTGTCTGAACGGTGAACTGTTCCACCCAAAGTATCTGGAGTTGAGCTCACTGGGCATCTCCGAAGCATCCATTAATCTCAACTATACAATGGATTCAGTCTCATGGAGGGGCCCCTCCACTGATAAGTACCTCCACTGATAAGTACCCCTATTGGAGTATTTGATTTGATCATATACCCATATAGGATTTTATGTATGATTATTGCTGTGGTCATTGTATGTTAAGATTTTTTTTTTTCCTTTGGAAGTATTTTGCACATTGTAGAGTTCATAGTGTTGTTGACATACCCCCTTTTTTATCCTTACTTTTTTACTCTTGGTCAAGTTTTCTTTGACCTGCAGTTAGGATAACACACTGTCACTACATTCTGTGCAAAACTCTGATAGTTTTCTACTAGGTAACATTTTAGGTGGTAGTTGGTTAAACAGCATTACCACCTCTTATGTCACTAATTATATCATTGTTGCATTTTAGGTTTTAAATATACCTTTGGGGCAGCTTGGGTTCTTTTTTACTTGTTAAAATGTATATTTTATACTGATTATACGGATGCCAAGATCTTAAATTTTTTTTAGGAGTGCTCACACATATATATTTGGCAATTATTGATCCTTTAAGTCGCTTTGTTGTGGTGTGAAGCAGCCCTTTTCATTTTCAGTTCTTAATTTGTATGACCCCATTGTATATTATAGTTTCTACATATGTGACCTACCATATTTGTAGTATGGTTTGATTGGCTGAAAACTGCAGAATTTTTTTTTTTTTTTTTTTTACTAACCTCTGTAAACATACATTAATTTATGCCTGCAACAGCTGTTAATATATCCCATTATATACATGTACATGTTAAAAAAATGCAAAGTTGGTCTTACCAGCTGAAAATGGGAGAAATGCTTCATTTTTCACAAAATTTCCCTTTGAGTCAAGAAAATGCTGAGGATAAAACTCTTCTGGTCTCTGAAAATAAGCTTTATCTTGCAGGACAGATGCAAGAAGTGGGATGACCTGTGTTCCCTGAAAAAACCCAAAAAACTTAAACAGAACAGTCAATTTATTTTGCAATGAGAAAAAAAACCCTATTTCAGCAATTTTTCTAGCTTGGGTATTTAATTTATTTTATGATTTTTATGCATTGTTCAGTACACATACATTCATTCAAGCACATATTGTAATGATCAATTAGTACAAGAAAGAGATTAGCGTTTGAGTAAGCTGGGTAACAAGTATGTAGAGCATAATATTAGCATTCTAAAACCAATATACGTAGATTAAGGACTACATACATCAAACAGAAATAAACTTCTGCCACTAAGTGAGAAGGAAATTGGTTCTTGAGATGCCCATCAATATGCATATGAGTATGCAATGAGATTAACAAGTCTTATGGACTATCCATCGGTATCAGTTTGTAGATGGTGGGACCCCACTTGCTTGCATATAATTACTAGGACAAGAAATTTTAACAAGGGGCAAATGGGGCAGCTGTCCCGGATCCAGTTACTCCTGTGGGTCCTAAAGCTGCTGCCTGTGGGGCCCCTGCCCCTGCCCGTGACCCAAACCCTGAATTCAAACTCCACAATTGTATACAAGCACACCCCTTCACTCAAACACCAATACTACACACAAATGTACATCAGCATTTAAAAGACAACATTACACCAAACACACAACTGCATGCAACTACAAATGTTACAAACACACCCCTTTGTTAAAATGCTACAATTATAAACAAACACCAACTCCACACACATACAAATTCACACTAGTGCATTCAATGCAAACACTACACACAAGAACATTGCTGCATTTGCATGGTAACCATGCATTCAAATACACCCCTACATGCACACACATACTCTATACAAAAACATACTAACATCTAAATTCACAAACACTGCTCACAAAGACAACCCTACAAGAATTGCCAAATGGTAGATCCCCAGCTGTCATAGCATTGTGGGAGTTGTATAACTGATGGGGATCTATCTTTTATCTTTTCTCCACTCTTGTGCCCTCTCTGCATTAGTTCCATCACTGGTTGGAGTGGAGGCAGTGATTGTTTGCCAGTGAGTTAGGAGTGAGGGCAGGGTCCAGGGCCCCCCCAAAAAATGCTTGTCCAGGGTCTAATCAATATTAAAGACTTCCCTGACAAGAATGGGCTTCAACATTCAGAAATCATTACCCCTAGAGCATATTCTTTAAAGAGTATGTCAAGCAAAATAAAAAATGATGTTGCTAAATTTAGCACAAAATTTTAGAGGTTGGAAAAATCTCCAACTCGCTATATTGACAACTTATCCATATTAGCCAAGAAATGCGTTTCTTAAATCAATACAGTTCACTATATAATAAATAAAATAACCCTAGATATTGATAAAGGAGCATGCATTTAATCCGTATATGTAGCCTGTTGGGACTTTTAAAACACGTTGATTGAAATCCATGATTCCCTCCCTTATCTGTAATATTGCTGTCCTTAGGACATCACCAATCTCCTATTTTTATTTCTCAATCTCTTAACATTATCCTGATGGCATCCTGGTGGTAAACAACTACCTGATTCATTAAACCTTCTTTGGCCCAGTGTTCTCTAAACACATCTAGTTAAATACCATCTACATTATTGGTTCCAAAGCTGTCCTTCTTCATGAATTCAGGAGAAAAAAAAATTGTTCTTATACATTTTTTTTTCATGGGGGGAATATAAAACGGCTTGCAAAAGCTTTAGATTCTCTCTGCAGGCTTTGCAAGCCCTCCTCTTCTTTCTCAGATTACGCTTTCTCTGACTGTCCAAACACATACTTTCCAATGCAGCTCAATGAGAAGTAACAGGACATCTGCACTCTTTGTAAAATAAACACAGGACCAGGGCCGCCATCAGGGCATGACAACCGCAACGGTTGTCATGGGCCCGGCGGTCCTGGGGGGCCCGGACTGCTCAGGTCGTCCGGGCCCCACATTCAGTGGGTACATACCGGGTCGCAGGGGGCCCTGCGACCCGGTATGTACCCACAGGGCCAGCCTCTTCTCCTGGGGGGCCCAGCAGCCCCAGCAGCCGGTCACCTCAGGGCCCCCCAGAGGCTGGCCCTGAAAGCCGGCCGGCGCGCGAGGGAGCACTCTCTGTGTGCTTCCTCTTCAGCTCCCTCGCGCACCGTACTGATGCCGGAGCCGGAAGATGACGTCATCTTCCGGCTCCGGCATCAGTATGCCTGCCTGCCCGCCCCGCCGCCAGTGTCGGGGGGTAGGAGGAATGAAATTCGAGGGAGTGGGGGTTAGGAATGAAATGGGGGAGAGGGGAAGGAGAAGGAATGAGGGAGGGGGAGAAGAAGGAAATTGGAGGGGGGGAGAAGAAGGAAATTGTAGAGGGAGGGGGAGAAGAAGGAAATTGGAGAGGGGAGAAGAAGGAAATTGGAGAGGGAGGGGGAGAAGAAGGAAATTGAGAGGGGGGGAGAAGAAGGAAATTGGAGAGGGGGGAGAAGAAGGAAATTGGAGAAAGGGGGAGAAGAAGGAAATTGGAGAAAGGGGGAGAAGGAAATTGACGGGGGAAGGGGGAGAAGGAATTTGACGGGGGAGGGGGAGAGATTGACATCCATCACACATACACAATGCACCCCTTGCACACAGAAAAACACACAATGCATTACACACAGACACACATACACAAGCAATGCATCCCTTACACACAGCAACACACAATGCACCCCTTACACACACTCAATGTATCCCTTACAGACGCACACACTGCATCCCATACATACACAAACTCACCTTGCAGCCCTTACACATACAAACACAGATTCACACAATGCATTCCTTACAAACATCAGGACACCCCCCCCACACACACTCCACCCTCTGTGAACAAACTCATTGGTGGAACATGAAGGTGGACCCTGGGACCCAGACCTTTAGCTGTGTAAAGGGCCCTCAAAAAAATGGAGCTGCTTCCCGTTGATCCCAAAACATTGATTTTTGTGACCACAGTTACAAAACGCCTCCAGAGAGCCTGTTCTACACCAGACCAGTGGAGCCAGACTGCATCTAGAGCCCATCATCATCCTCATCTGGTTGTAAGTAGGCAATCTAGTATATTATTTGTGCACTAATCTCTAATTTACCTCACATTAAAGGGACACTATAGTCCCCAGAACCACTTCAGCTTAATGTAGTGGTTCTGGTGTCTAGCCTGTCCCTGCAGGCCTTTTAATGTAAACACGGCGGCACTGCAGCACTGGCGTTAGTTAACATGGCAGATCATATGGGTGGGGCATTGTGATGTCACATGGGGGGGCGGCAAAATTTACTTTTGCCTAGGGCGGCAAAAATCCTTGCACCGGCCCTGCAGACACTGCATTCCTGTGGGTGGACTGGGGGGGGGGCAGCACTTTGGGCGGACTCAGGTGCAGGCACCGGGGGGCCCAGACCTTGAGCTGTGTCAGGGGCCCCAAAATTTCTGATGGCAGCCCTGCACAGGACACACTGTTCACACAAAGTATTTCAGCAAGCAACAATGCTTTAGGGGTTTGGAGTGTCACTTTAAACTAAACTAGGCTGAAAAAGGGTGTGAGCATAACTGGAACTATTTAATTATAGATTAAAAAACTCACTACAGATATAAATATAACATCATAATTATATTAATTTGTGGTTTGGGAAATATTTTGAGATGGTATGATGTTAATTTGAATTACCGGTACATCGCTCTCCAATTTCTCTCTTTTGGGCAAACAAGGAACTTACATAAAAACAAGCACACAGTTCTACCTTTACATGCTCACACTATATTGGATTAAATAGCATGTTTTAAAGCTAAGCAAGACTCGTAGCATTTTGTTACACATTTTTACCAGTCCATTGGTAACTAAAGCCACCTTGAAGGCATTTTTGTAGGAATTATGAATAAACCAAACATTATTCATGTGATTTTAAACTGATACATAGCTGAATATTTATAAAATGACAGTGATAAGTGTTTATATGCATTTATAGTTAATACAGTAAACTATAGAGTACATGCCAAGCACAACATAAACATATATATTGCCAATTACTCACTTACCTTAGGAATAAAATATCCTCGAAATGTGACATCACAAGTAGTTGCATGTGGAAGGTTGTTAGGTACAACGTTACCAAACCTTTGAATTTCATGAATGACAGCATCTGTGTATGGCATGTCCTTTCTGTGTTCTGTTTGAGGCCGAGAATATCCAATCACATTGTCTATTTCATTTTGGACATTTTCTGTCAATAAAAATTGTATTCCATTAAGATATACACATTTTTTAGGTAGCAGATGTCCGGAATACACAGCTACAAAATGAATACACACATTTACTTGTATTTATTAACCGTGCACCTGCAGGAGCTTTACGCAAATTTTTTTTTAATGATTAACAAATATTTATTAAACATTTCACACAAAAATAATTGTAAAAAAATTGTTACTATAGTTTATAGCATGTAAGCTCATTGAGCAGGGCTCTCCACCCCCTCTGTTCCTGTACATTCAGTTGTCTGGCTACAATTACATGTCTGTTAGTCAACCCATTGTACAGCGCTACGGAATCTGATGGCGCTATATAAATAATACAATAATAATATTAACCCATTCAGGACCGGACTGTTTTGGCCATGTTGTATGTTAAGGACCAAAGCTGTTTTAACACTTTTGTGGTGTTTGTGTTTAGCTGTAATTTTCCTCTCTCTCATTTACGGTTTGCATAAAAATTACATGTTGGTTTTTTTTCCAGGACAAAAGTGGCTTTCTTTACATACCATTATTTGTATCATGTCATATAATTTACTTTTAAAAAAATAATAAAAAATATTGGAAAATTGAAAAAAATCATGTTTTTGGACTTTTACTTGAAAAATCTTTTACTTACCTACGAAAGCTAATGTAAAAATCTGTTAAATAGCTTCAAAATTTTGTCCTGAGTTTAAAGACACCCAGTGTTTATGTGCTTTTTTCCCTTTTTTTTTGCAAGTTATAGGGCTATAAGTACAAGTAGGAAATTGCCGTTTCAAAATATATATTTTTAAAATGTATAAATAGTAACATTGTAACACTGTTCTCTGTCATAAATCTCTGAATCACACCTCACATGGACATATTTTTTTTAATGTAGACAACCCAGGGTATTCAATATGGGGTATGTCTAGTCTTTTTTAGTAGCCACTTAGTCACAAACACTGGTCAAAGTTAGTATTTATATTTGTTTGTGTGTGAAAATTGCAAAAAACAAAATTGAACGCTAATTTTGGCCAGTGTTTGTGACTAAGTGGCTACTAAAAAGACTGAACATATCCCATTTGCAATACCTTGGGTTGTCTTCTTTTGCAAATGGTATGCCATCATGGGGGGTAATTCTCATTCGCTATCAAAGGCAACATAACCAACCTGGCAATTTTTTATGTAAAAATATTTGACCCTGTAACTTGCAAAAACACTATAAAACCTGTACATTGGGGATACTGTTATACTCAGGAGACTTTGCTGAACACAAATATTAGTGACTCACAACAGTGAAACGTATCACAACAATTATATCTTCAGTGAAAGTGCCATTTGTGTGTGAGAAATGCAAAAAAAAAAAAAAATCACTTTCACTGACAATATCATCGCTGTGCTATATTTTACTGTTTTGAAACACTAATATTTGTGTTTCCCGAGTAAAACAGTAACCCCCATGTACAGGTTTTAGGGTGTCATAGAAAGTTACAGAATTAAATACATTGCTAGCAAATTCAATTCTGCGGACTTTCAGCCTGGGTTGTCAGTCAGGTCTCTCAAATTGCAATCAATAAAATTACTTAATTATGTAAAAATATTACATTAATATGCATGTAGAATTTAAATATATATGCATGTTTATATATTTGAAGTCTATGTGTATATTTATAAAATTATTTCTGTAGGTCTGGGTCTTGTGATTCTCACAATATAAAGTTCTTCAGTGTAGGATTTATAGTTTTTAAAATACGACAGTTTGAAGAATGAAAAGTAATCAGGAGAGGCAAAATATTCTGACCTGTGCCAGGCTGGAGCAGCAAAGAAAGAGGAAGTGATGTCATAGACCGTGTGAGCCAAAAAATCAGGACTTTATTTCTAAACTGCCCCCACTCCCTCATTTTCAAGCCCACCTACACAAATCTTATATCACAACATTCAGCTATCCCTGCTGCCACTAGAAATGTCCACGGCTAAGCCATAGTCCTGATAGTTTTCACAATATGACCATTTGTTTGCAACTCACGCCGTCCATTGACATTCACTCTAGCCAGCTCAAATTTGAATGGCAATTTCTAAACTGCGACTGTGCCTTCATTTTTAATACTTCAGAGACATACTATGCATCAAAATGTAGGTCTGGGTCTTGTGATTCTCACAATATAAGCTCATCACTGTAGGATGTATAGATTCTAAAATACGATCGTTTGAAGATGGCAACCGCCAAAATACTCCAGGGTGGAGCAGCACGTGATGTCATAGACAGGGCCTTTTGTACACCTGCTAATGTTTTTATAAATGTATGTTTTAATGTAACTGTGAAGCACTTTGGGCAACAACGTTGCAATTAAATGTGCTATATAAATAAATAATAACAGTTACTCCGCTTGTAGAGTACTGGTGGAGACAAGAACACTTCACACAATTTCCCCAGAAATTGTAGCTTTTCTAATTATTATTATTATTCTTATTATAGCCAAATTTACCACCCTAACTCCTCCCACAGTTTTTAAACTACATAGACAGAAATATATCGAAACGTGCGAATTGTTCCCGATTGGATTACTATTACTTTGTGGAATGTTTCGCCGAATGGTTTACGGAATATCATCGTTCTTGTGGCGAAATTGGTCCCATAGGAATGAATGGCAAAATGTTTAAAACTAGAGTGGGAGCTCGCAAGAGCTGAAAAATCAGGACATGATTTCTAAACTGCCACCACTATATATATTTATTTTGATATATATATATATATATATATATATATATATATATATATATATATATATATATATAATATAAATATACAGTTAGAATAACATTATATATATATATATATATATATAATTTTTTAATATTTTTTAAAATTATTTTTACATTTTTAATTTATTTTAATTTACTTATTTGTATTTTATAATAATTATATATATATATATATATATATATATATATATATATATATATATATATACACACACACACACGTGTAATTTAATTATAATTGTATTTTTATATTAATATATGTATGTATTAATATAAAAATACACTTACTACAACATTATATATATAAGATATATAGACATATATACACACACACTGTGTTGCAGGCAGTCTCCCCACACCAGGAGAAATGACGATCACCGCCGGGGGAACGACGGTGACCGGGTGAGTAAGGATTTCCATTATGTTGGTTCAGGACCGTCACCGGTCCTCAAGGGGATTTTTCCGATGACGGTGCTGAACCGTCAGCGGTCGGGAAGGGGTTAAAAGATTTTATGCCAAGTTTCTTACTTTACTTTCATTGCTCCTTCAATTGAGAAACTTACAGCGTTAATCAATCAGTTACATTACTTTTTTTTTTTAATTCCTTATTTTTGATGTGCATTCAATTACATAAAATGCTTGCAGCGCCACGACAGCGGGTGCGAGCAGCAAACAATGAACATTATCAAGGCATAGAAAAATAGCACATTTTAAGGCGTTAGAGAGGACAGGCTAAGCACATAATATCGTAACATGGGAAGGAATTCACATTTTGTCAATATAATTGACATGCTTATGCTAGGCAGTGAGTAGAAGTCCTAGAGCTGAATAAAACAAGCTAGATAAACTAACTATTTGATTGGTCATCATTGTGAAGTGTTATATGCTTTCAGGAGAGAGAAAATCTAAGCAGGTAAAGGACCACCAAGTGTGAATCACAGATTATACTATCCCAGATGTGATAGCCAGGCAATATTGTGAAGAGGAATATATCATAAGGTAGGTCAGGCATTAGGCAACGGTTCTGCATGCTAAATTAATAGTAACAATATAATAGGAACACAAAGAATAACAACTGAGGGGAATAACACAGGGACAGTCTGCAGTTTAGTTTCAGCCAATACCACGTTTATGAGGCAGATGAAATCTGGGTTTTCGTGTTGGTAAGTATAGTCTCTCTAGACCACCTTCCTCCACAGGCCTTGGTCGGGAATCACCCAGAACATGCAGGCTAACATCACAGCATTTCTGCTTCAAGTCTCGGTAAGGTGCTTTCGCCACTTGAGCTTGTGGCTGCTCCTGCCAAGGATGTGGGTCATGCACTCGGGTTTTCCCCCTTTGGGCTCTCAGCCCTGAAAGGCAGTAACGAGCATTGGGCGACTCTGGACAGGATGTGGCTTTCAAGCTGGCCCTCTTCTTCCCTGGCTTCTTTGGTTTGGGGGCTGGTTGAGTGCTCCGAGGCCTACCAGCCTTGTGGTTCAGGCCACCGGGAGGCGAGATCCGCCGCTTGTCGGTCTTTTTCCGCTTCCCCTTAGTCTGTGCCCCTCTGCACCACAGCTTCTGCCAGAAGTCTCTGAAGAATGCGTTCAGCCGCTGTTCAAAATTTTCCAGCAGGCCGTATGTCGTCATAGGCAGTCGCCATCTTGGCTCTGGCTACAGTGAAATGTGTCTGGATCGGGTGAGTTCCCTGGTTCCATTTGTCGTCTCAAGACAAAGCCTTATAGCTTATCAATTGTGCCGGGATATCCCTCACCGGCAAGGGGGGGAAATGGGGGTCCTAAGCGCTTCAGTGTTTTCCTGCAGGACAGCTCGCGGGGAGGTTGGCCGCCTCTCCCACGCTTGCATCTGCTGGTAGGCCGCAATTCTTTATCGGTTTCAGAGTGCTTCTCCGAGCACTGCAATCCTCCCAGTTGAGTCTTGGGATAACACTGATGCACTGCCGCACCAAATTAGTACGTTTGGCGTGATATGTCAGAAATAAGTCGCTTATTTGCAGGAGCTCTCGTTTAGTGTGACCACCCCTAGTTACATTACTTTTAAATGTAGTGAAGCCAAAATTTTGATATGCAGCAAACCCGATCATATTACCGACACATAAACTGAAGTCTTACTTTGGATCTCTGGATATTTCATCATTAGCAAAATGCTCCATCGAAGAGTCGTGGAGGTCGTTCCCGTTCCTGCTGCAAACAAATTGCCCACAAGAGCTGTTAAATTATCATCATGGAAAAATAATCCTTTGGGTTTTTCCTGAATTGTAAAATAGAGAAGAAAAAGATCTGGTAAAAAGCTATACATTTATGCATACTGATAATTATATAGGGCTGTGAATACCAGCAAATATGGTTACAGAATTTACAGAACTTCAGAGAGAGTCATAAAAATAGTCAAAATAAAACATATATCAAACTGGCTAATTAATAAATGCTTTTAAAGTATTGTTTCTACATCTAAATTTTCTGTTTGTTTACAGTTGGATGAGTTTGCAAATTAAATTGCTTTGTGAATTGCAGCAGATTAGCTATGTATCAACAGTATCATTGTTGTTCAGTGAACATAAAATTAGAACCTGTGAATGCCATATCCACACTGAATGTGGGTAATATAATTCATTACACATTGATTTTTATAATAGAGAAACTGCTTCTCTACACTAATTTGTGGAACACTGGTTTAGGGGAACTCCCTGATAGTAAGTAAGGTTGATCCCATTGTACAGTGCTATGGAAACTAATGGCGCTATATAAATAATAAAATAATAATAATAATCAAGACATGGTATTATGGGTCAAGGAAGGGAATTTGAATTTGACTTTGGGATACCCTACATACCAGCTTGTTTTTAATAAGGGGATGAAGGAGAGCTAAGCCTTAAATATTATGTTCTGTGCTTTTATACTTTATTATGTAATATATATTTTGTTGTATTTGTTTATTTTTATTCGTCCCATTGGCAGATTGCTCTTGTATTAAAAACCTTTAGACACAGAAATATTTTAATGGAACACTATAGGGTGAGGAACACAAACATGTATTCCTGGCGCTTTAATGTTAAAAACAGTATCTTGGACCCCCTGCCTCCCTAAATATAGCAAAAACTTAGGCTGGTGAGATAGCTCAGTGGGCTGATGCATCATCAGTAGAATATGTTCAACCCTTGGGTCGCAAATTCAAATCCCGGCAGGGTTGACTCAGCCCTTCATCCTTTCCGAGGTAGATAAAATGAGTACCATTAAATTGGGTAATAATAACAACCCCTGGATGTTGGGCTAAGGTAACATCCCCAGGATGTACTTGAAAACCAGAGTAATCTGAATGTACCTTTCCTGGTTAAATACGTTATTATTTTTTCTTAATACAAGAAATCTTCTATTATAGAAGATTTAGTATCTAATACTGAATAGAATACCATTTTTTTTCTTCTTTTGTTGTGTGATTCTCTCTATCCCTCCGCCTAAGGAAGTTGCAATTGCGACTACTTCCCAGTGGTTTACGAGTTAGGATTAGATACTTAGATACCCTCTCATGCAAGATGAGATTGATAATTGTTGAATGGGATTTTATATTGTGGTTAAAGTTTTTGTCATGTAAAGAGGTTCATCCAGGGGGTTCACCTGGTTTGTCTACTGAGAAGAGGGTGGTAAAAATGCAATTTTATTATTATTCCAGACGGCTGGTGCTAGCTTTGCCCCTGATCTGCCTCCTTGGGAAAAGCATTGGATTTGATGAGATTGTCACTTTTGATGATCTCAGCCAAGGAGGCAGACCGGGGGCAGAGCCAGGCACCAGCATTTCTATAAATAAGTGACTACATGCAGAGGGTGGAGATACTGAATGTCAGTGCTGCACACTGCAGTATTGCCCCAGGAAGTACCTCTAGTAGCCATCTGTGGAGTGGCCACTGGAGGTTTTCCTAGGCTGTAATGTAAACACGGCCTTTTCCCTGAAATGACAGTGTTCACTGCAAAAAGCCTGCAGGGACAGACTTTACTCACCAGAACAACTACATTAAGTTGTAGTTGTTCTGGTGACTACAGTGTTCCTTTAAGCTATTCATTTCATGATTGTTTCGCTTGCCACATGTTTAGACTAAATTTAATTATATAGCTTAAAATAACCTTCATAATCAATATATTTTGTATAAGTTAAGTTCCCATTTAAATTGTACAGTTTGCTGTGGTTACCTCTCGTTGCATGACAAGATATGCATCAATGAGATTTCTTTGGTCGTTTATGTCCAGCTGGTCCTTGTGTTTTGTAATTGTCTCTTTAATAAATGTCTTCAACTTCTGGATATTTTCAAAAATTATATTGTGACTTCCTGGTAACCAGCGAACCAGAGATGGAAAAATGTTGTACAGCTAAATAAAAATGGAAAAATGGTTGAAATGCCTGATCCTCTAAGGACAAAATCAGAGAAACCTATTATTTTGAGTCTTTCACAAGCTGATGTAGGAACATTATTCCAGATTTGTTTTTTATTGTGCATCTGGATTACAAAATGTGGAAATTCATTTGTCACATTTTGACCTTTTTTGTGAGAGAGTTATTTCCACGTCCACCACAGTGAGTAAATTGCATATGAGAGGTCAACATTCTCAACACAAAAAAAATGGGAGCTTCTTATCATTGCAAGCCTTTTCAAAGGACAATGTCATGTAGCATATTAACATCTTCCCTCCAACCATGATTCTAATTTCATATTTTTTGTATAAGTTTTTATAATGATTTACTACATTGGATACATTTTAAATTAATGATTTCAAAATATGAAAATATTTATAAACAAAAATATATAAAAATATAAAAATAATTTTCAAAAAAGATTCAATTTTAAAAAGTTACACAAAAAAAATAAATCATATGAAAATCTTATTCAAACCAGGTAAAAAGGGATCCAAAATGTTTAACCTAAAGGTAGGTCTCTAAAGCTGTAACTTGAGAAAAATTCGGCATGAGCATGGTGATACACAATCTACTGCAATAGGTGAGTGATGATTATTTTTCTTCTTATAGACAGCTGGCTTGCTAGTCAGTTTGTAATGTCGGTGATACCATGCCTCCTTAGAGTCAGACATATCACCAGCGACAATGCATAGTATGAACCCACATCTTTTTAATTGAGATTTTGAATGTGCCATCTGGAATCTACTGAAGTAACTCTCTTGTTCAAGGGTCACATCCCCAGGTGGGACTACTACTGCTTTCTCTCAACTGAATAGAGCACGGGTAATGTCACTGAGACAATTACACAGTAACACAGGAACAATAGGTAGAAGAGGGCCCTGCTCAGACTAGCTTACAGTTCAGAGGAGATGGGGTACAAATACACAACAAGGCAGCAAGGGTGACAGCCACCAACAAGGTGGAAAGGTAGCATAACTAGAAAAGAGAGTGGAGTGAAGACTAGGGGAGAGTCTGATGGGGTAGGCATAGAAGGGAGCCACCCATGAGAAGTCCTGCAAGTGTGAGTTAGCATTAAGGGTGCGAGCAGCGAACAGCAGAGCTGAGAGACACGTACACATACAAAAAGTCAACCTTTCCAGTCTGATAGGATCTTTAAGGATGACTGAAGATATCTACTCCAACAGTGAACAATTAAAATCTTAATAAGTGTTAATGGTAAAAAGACATTCTTACCAAAACCATAGGACTTCCAGAAACCCCAACATTTGAGTTGACTATGTTGAGAAGCTTCAAAAATGTTGGATCATTGTAATCAAAACGATGGCCAAGTAGTACAGATACAATTACGTTGGATACAGCTCCATTTATTATCAATGTGTTCTCAAACGGCTTTCCTGTAATAAGAAAAACTAAACTATACAAACATATACATGTATAAATTCTTTCCTTCTGAAAGTCTGAACACCCACTCATCGACACTCATACTTGTGATATCACGAGTATATGCACATCACGACACTAGCATCTATATTGGAGACTAATGTTTGGCTGAAAGTTCTTCAGAAGCTTTCACGTTGAGCAACTAAAATAAAAAAATCTATTGACTTTTAAGCAAGTAAACCCTTGGTGTAAGTAATTGTAACCGGACCTAGCTTCCTGGTTAACCCAGACCGGTTACCTCCCGTTAGTTCCCTTCCTTCAGCCGATTAAGAACTCTTGCATGGTTAGGGGACTTCGCTCTATGCACTCCCAGGCAGAGACGACACTCAGCCCTGGAAGCTCTAAGTCCTTACCAGGACTTTTCCCCATTGAATCCCCTGCAAGTTGGAACAGCAGACACATGGGTTAAATCTTCCTTCTCCCCAATAACAGGACGACACAATTTTGGAGTTTTAAGCACTGGACCCTGCCAGACTCTCACAATCATTATTGGACACAGGCTTCTTTTATGCACAGAATGGAATGGAGACCCCCTGTGGGGGTCCACAGGGGGTCTCCATTCCACACATTATGCTTCCCTTTGTCCCAGGCAGGAGGGGCTGGGTTACAGATAGCCTTCTCTGATTGGTCGTCTGCACCCGCAGTGACCAATCAGCGCTCACTCGTGCCGACCAACAAGGAGAATGGCGCGAATCCAGTTTGAATGGGCGCTTCCTCTCCTATTGGTCGGCATGGACTTCCATGCGGCCAGCGGGACTCTGGTTAGCAAGGTGTGAGCATTCTAACCACACATTCTAAATGGAGTATCACCGGGGCGCCCCTGTGTGGATGAAAAGTAAAATACAAGGGGAAACACATATTTAAACAAGGGAAAATCATAACAATACACATTGGGGGCACAAAATACGAAACCAAACATCTGAATACTCAGTGGGCATGGCACTTAGTGGTGGTGTCCCACCAAAGTAATCACTAACCTTTGTATGATTTAACTACTTCCACCAATGAATCACATTCCTCATTAATCAGATTTTCTATCACTTTTTTTCCCATTCCAAAATCTCGTAGTGTAGTAAGAGAGAATCTTCTCATCACTTTCCAGTTTTCACCATCAGTAAAAACGACACCTAAATTAAGTAAGTGAAATTTGCTAAAATGTCACTAAAATAATAACATTTACCAATCCAAAATATTTTATAAATAGATTCAAACGTACAGTTTCTTTAAACAACAATTTCTAAACATCTATGGAATTTTAGCAAGCTTATGTGACAAGATTGAAATATAAATTATTTTTAGTAAAGGAGCAAATTTATAATACGCTTTCACAAAAATGGGATTTACTCACAATCTGGTAAATTATTGCGAAATGGTGACAAAAATACTGAAGTTGTATCTTATCTTCATGATATAAGTGTGCAAAAATGGGCATGGTAATGAAATTGCACTTCCCTACCCCATGCATGTTCATGAAAAAGATTAATTGCAGAAGTGGCCTGCACGTGAATCTTACTCATTATTTAAACATAACCCAAACTTTCCTGACTAATCATGGCAGCATCACTTATGGATGGACAGGAATTAACGAATTCAAACAGAGGCTGAATGTATGAAGGGTCTCTCCTTCCTTCACACACCAGTGTTTTTCCTGTCCTTATCCGGACAGGCAGGAATTTCTTCCTACAAATTTTATTTTTGGCCACCTTCCTATGTGCACCATAGGTCTCCCAGACACAGTTCAGCCTCTGTCTGAATGACCCAGTAAACAGCCTGCTAGGGCAGGACTAATTGAGTGAGATTCCAAGTTTAGCATATTTTGAGTTCATTCTAGTAATCTCGCACTGGCATGGTTTACGGTAGCCCTATATTTATCCCCCAGCTATCAACCTGATAACGCAGTTGGGATTGCCTATTTTGCCTCAAAAAAAAAAAAAAATCTAACATTTCATTGGCATCCCATTCCCTAATATCCAGATTTTATTAAAGCTACATTGAGGATTTGTCCTTCATCAAGAAATACTTCTCCACCATGGAACCTCCCTCTGGTGTTAGATGCCTTAACTGAATCTTCGTTCACTCCTCTGGTGGAAATTTTTATTAAATATCTTACCTATAAAGGTGGTTTTCCTGGTAGCCATCACCATGGCTAAAAGAACCTCGGAACTACAAGCTTTTTCCAGCGAAAATTCACACTCATTTTTCACAACAGAATAGTTCTAAAACCAAGAGAAGATTTTCTTATGAAAGTGGTTTCTAATTTCCACCTTCATCAGGATGTAATACTTCCATTCTTCAAGCCTTCTCCATCTTCTCCAGAAGAAATCAAACTACATGAACTGTATGTTAGAGATTGCATCATTAATTACCTCTCAATTACTTCAGAATTCAGGAAATCTAACCGACTATTTATCCTCCTCTCAGGTGCTCATAAAGGAGAGGCTTCTTCTTCCACGTTAAGGCGCTGCATTGTGGCAGTCATTTCTGATGCATATAGAAAGTCCAAGCTGCCTCCTCCGGATAAGATAAAGGCTCATTCAACCAGATCCTCGGCAACTTCTTGGGCCAGCTGGGCAGAGATTCCTTCAGATGATAACTGCAGGGCAGTAACATGGTCATCCCCTACAACTTATTAACCATTACAAGTTGGACTTGAACTATTCTAGTTCAACTTCTTTTGGGAAAGGAGTCCTTTCCTCTGTTCTTCAGCACAATAAAGTTTGAATTTGCATTATTTTAAGTTTATTGTCCCCTCCCCTTAAAAAAAATTAAAAAAAATAATAATACTTATCTGGTAATTTTCTCTGTCCCCTTCTTTTATCTTAGCTTGCAAACTTGACTGATGTGTGAAGGAAGGAGGGACCCTTTATACATTCAGTCTGTTTGAATTGGTTAACTCCTGTCCTGATCCGACTGAGGTGGAGCTAACCAGTAAGTGATGCTGCCATGATAAATAGCCAGGAAAAGAAAATTACCAGGTAATAATGCTTTAAAATGTCTTTATTTTATATGATCAAATGTTACACTCTTTCCTAAAACACAGCCTGAGCAGAGACCCCCTTGACCAGTGACTGTAAAATGAAAATGTGCTTTCATGCAGGTAGTCAACTTATGGTCTTATTCTTTGAATTAGAAACACGGAGATTTCTCCATGTATCAATAACAAGATCATGACAACGCATCCATTATTAGCTATAGTGAGGCATGGAAGAAGTATATTGAACAGGCAAAATGCAAACTGTAAGCTAGAGAGGCTGAAAGAATGTGTTGTCTTTTGCAGGTCACTTTGTAGTTCCCCTAAATAAAACTTGGAATCAGTGGCGTACATACCAGGGTCGCAGGGGTCGCGGCTGCGACCGGGCCCGGCCCACCAGGGGGCCCGGCCGCCCCTGCGACCCGGTATGTACGCCCAGGGCCAGCCTCTTCCCCTGGGGGGCACAGGAGCCGACCATCCCAGGGCCCCCCGAGGCTGGCCCTACTGACCCCAGCAGGCAGGTGGACGGTTGGGCAGGTGGGCGCGCGAGGGAGCACTCAGTGCTTCCTCTTCAGCTCCCTCGCGCACCGCAATGATACCGGAGCCGGAAGATGACGTCATCTTCCGGCGCTGGCATCCCTACGCGGCGCGCGAGGGAGCTGAAGAGGGAGCACACAGGGGAAAGTGCTCCCTCGCGCGCCGGCCAGGCAGCCCGCCCACCCACCCGGTGACCAGGAGCCCAGCAGCACCACTGGACCCCAGGGAATCCCCCCAGCACTCCAAAAGGTAAGGAGGCTGGGGGGATTAAATTTGAAAAAAAAAATATGTGTGTGTGTGTGTTAGAGCGTGTGTGTTAGTGTGTGTGTTAGTGTGTGTGTGTGTGTTAGTGTGTGTGTGTTAGTGTATGTGTTAGAGTGTGTGTGTTAGTGTATGTGTGTGTGTTAGAGTGTGTGTGTTAGTGTATGTGTGTTAGAGTGTGTGTGTGTTAGTGTATGTGTGTGTGTTAGAGTGTATGTGTGTTAGTGTATGTGTGTGTGTTAGAGTGTATGTGTGTTAGTGTATGTGTGTGTGTGTTAGTGTATGTGTATGTTAGAGTGTGTGTGTGTGTGTTAGTGTGTGTGTTAGTGTTTGTTTGTGTTAGTGCGTGTGTTAGTGTGTGTGTCAGTGAATGTGTCTGTTATTGGGTGTGTGTCTGCTAGTGAGTGTGTTACTGTGTGTGTCTGATGTCTGTTAGTGAGTGTGTGTTTGTCAGTGAAAGTGTATGTATGTCTGTCGCTGAGTGTGTCTCTGTCAGTAAATGTGTGTGTCTGTTAGCTAGTGTGTATGTGTCTGTTCGTGAGAGTGTGTGTGTGTGTCTTCAGCATTTACCTTTCTCCAGCGTCGGACTCCCCAGTGTCTGCCACTCAGCTCCGAAATGCACATGCGCGGCAAGAGGCGCGCGCGCATTTAAACCGCCCATAGGAAAGCATTACTCAATGCTTTCCTATGGACGTTCAGTGTCTTCTCACTGTGATTTTCACAGTGAGAATCGCGGAAGCTCCTCTAGCAGCTGTCAATGAGACAGCCACCAGAGGCTGGATTAACCCTCAGTGAAACATAGCCGTTTCTCTGAAACTGCTATGTTTTCAGCTGCAGGGTTAAAACTAGAGGGACCTGGCACCCAGACCACTTCATTGAGCTGATGTGATCTGGGTGTCTGTAGTGGTCCTTTAAGTGTGTGTGCATACCGCGGTCGCGGGGTCGCAGCCCTGCAACCCCTGCGACCAGGTGCCCACCACCATGTGTTGCGACCCCGACCCGCTCTGAGTAAGCGCGCGGGGGGGGGGCCCACGGATCAATTTTTGCACCGGGGCCCCATGGGTCATGTGTACGCCACTGCTTGGAATATTCACTAAATCAGTTACTGTCATAAATAGAAAAATAAATAGCAAAGGTGACTATGTTGAAATACTTTTTACCTCTAACTGATAAACATACCATAACCCTTTAATGTATCATGGAAGATGGGTATGACAGGTCTCCCAGAAAACTCATCTGCGTGGTTGACAAGAGCATCTTTCACTGTATCGTAGCCACACAGTACAACCACTTTCTTCATTCCCATGTGAAAACTGAATACAGAGCCATACTTCTCAGCTAACTGCAAAGAACAACATGGCATGATAATGGATTATAAAGTTTTAGCAATTTTAATACATATGTAGCCCCTACTTTAATACTCTCTAATCCAAGTCTGGTAGTGTGTTGCGAACAGATATCCAGAGACCTAGGTAGAATATCTGGTGTACAAATGGAAACCCAGTTTGTAAACCAATTTTTAGAAAAATAAAAAATAAAACACTCTGTATGAAGTGGAAAAGTTTATTAGGCTGGTGTCCACTATTTGTACTCTCCTATTTTTGCATGCCTTTTTTAACATTTCATTTTTATATATTATTTGCACTCTCTTGCCGTATTCTACAGTGTTAATTTATTTACACTCTTATTTGTTCGGTGGTTTACTGACTAGTTTATATTTGTATAGCCATAGTTCAGAATGATATATGGAGGGTGCTTGTTTGAAATTAATCAAATAAGTATGTACTGGGCTCAGTAGAACTATCAAGTAACAAGGATCTTGAGTGTGTCCTTATGAAATACAAATGTGTCAGCTGATCGGACCTAAACCTCCTATAGTAAGGCAGGTAGTGTCCACCAGCTGCAAATGAGTTAATATAGTAAAGATCTTATATATAAGAATCAATACCACAGATACGAATGTCTAACATACCCCTATAAGGAAGGTATGCATAAATTAAAATGCAAATAAAAATGCGAATGAAAAATGAAAATTCCAAAGTTAGTCAAATATATGTACAGCAGACGTGAAACTAATTAATACTTTATTGTCTGAACAGCACACTAAAATATATAAAGACTAACGGTTATCTAATAGTTAAAATTGAAAACAGTCCCACATATGAGAGGTGGATAGTTTACCGGGTCACAGTAGACTGAGAGTCCAAAAAAGATAGACGTTTCTTTCTCTTGCCGGCCGGACAGAGAAGGAGGAGGACTGTCTCGTGCTAGACTGACACCGGGTATTCTCCGCGTGCGTTTCACTGCGGCTGTATGCGTTCCAAATCTCTCTCTCAGGAACTAGTGATCGTCGGATGCCTTCCTTACGCGTTTCGTGATTTTAAATCACTTCATCAGAGGATGGCATCAAAGGAGCATTGACTTCTTATATACTCCCTAACTTCAATCAGTTAATTGCATATAATTATTGAATTAACCCTCCATTCGCCAAGACGACAAATTGGGAACAAAGAAACCTTTTTTTAAACCTTTTTTAAAAGGTCAATAGAATAGTTAAACATAATTTAGAAATATCCAAACATAATAATATTGTATAAATGTTAATAATAGAAGACATATTGACCAGTAATTTATTACAATTATACATTAAATACATGCTCTTAAATACATGATTATATAAACCCATAATTATATAAGCAATCATTATGGGAAGTTGGTACTTTGGTCTCATCATAGTATTGTTACATTATAACATTATAACATTAGATACATACGCTGTTGCGAGTAGAAAAAGCGAAGGGTTATAATGAATGACAGAACATCTAATATTTTACATAGAGGGAAACAGAAAATGTAAAAACATAGTGATCAATATAAACTTATGTTGTGAGAACAGACCGTCTACTGGAACCACAGCTAGTTGCAAAAATAAAGTGGGACAAGTCCTGTAATAAATACATCACTACTGCTTCGGAGAATAAAATATTTAAAAATACATATAATAGTAATATATATTAAAAATAAGAGTACATATGAGTAACAAATATAAAGAAATATAAAGAAAAAATTGCGTCCACTAGTACACAGTATCGAATACTTGGCATCAAAGGAAACAAAAGAACCTGGTGGTCAATGGAAACCAACGTGATAGAGACAAACCATCTGGTGTTACCATAATTTGCTAAAAAATACAATGGGACAAATCATGTAGTAGCTATATCGTTACCACTTTAAGTGACAGGGTGTCTAAAAAATAATTAAAAATAATTACAAATTTGTATACTAATAAGAAATTAATGAATACATGGTATTGACTAGCATAAAAGTAGGTGAAATAGGAATATTGGATTCCTAGAAATAAATAGTGCTACAAATAAAAAAAAATTTTATAAAATAAATGGGGAATACTTGGGAATCGAATGACACCTATGCGGTTAGGACAAATCATCTGGTGTAACCCCAACTATAAAATGGGACAGGTCCTATAGTAAGTGCTTCACTATTGTTAAAATTATAAAATATCTAAAAGAATTTATATTAAAAAAAAAAAAAATCTTTATAAAAAAGCATTGAGCTCAAAATCAATATTAAGACCAACTGGTTCCAAACTGTTAAGTTGAAATATCCATCTTGCTTCATTTTTATCAAGCCTTTTTTCAAAATCTCCTCCCCTCCAATGTGGATTAATTAAATCAATAGCATAAAATTCTAAGCCAGTTGGATCATTAGAATGATAGTCAGTGAAATGTCTTGAAAGATTATGCGTATTCAGTCCTTTCTTAATGTTGCGAATGTGCTCTCCTAATCTCGTTCTAAATTTTCTCTTCGTCCTGCCCACATAATATTTCTTGCAGGGACAAATTAGAAGATATATGACCCCTATAGAGTTGCAACTCAGATTTGATTTGATTTTAAATTCTTCATCTCCATTCATATTGCTAAATTTTCTTGTCAGTATTGGTTGTGTGGGGTTGTTCTTACAACCTGGACATTTGTTGCATTTATGAAAGCCAGCCATCTCCTGGTTCATTCTGGATGGTCTCACTTCCTTAATCGTTGGAGCTAGTATGGTTTTCAAACTTGGAGCTCTGGAATAAAAGATTTTTGGTTTATCATCCAATATGGTGCTCAATGTGGTATCCTCTTTCAGGACCTTCCAGTGTTTGTTTAAAATATGTCTAACTTTTCCTGCTTGGTCACTGAATTGGGTGATAAATGCGGGAGCCTCAGTGTCAAAATTGGATATTTTATTTCTACTTTGTAGAGTTTCTTCTCTTGATAGATTCAGGGCTTTGTTCATGGCATCATTCAACAAATCTGAGTCATACCCTTTCTTCAAAAACTGACCTTTCATTTCTTCCATCTGATTTCTGCAAGTTTCTAATTCTGTGCAGTTCCTTCTTATTCTCCTAAATTGCCCATACGGGATATTGTCCAACCAGGATTTCTTATGGTGACTATCCGAAGGAAGGAAACTATTGCAGTCTACTGGTTTTCTAAAGGTTTTAGTATTTATTTTTCCTTCTTTGATGTAAATCTCCAAATCTAAAAATTCCACCGAAGATTGCGATTGAGTAAAAGTGAATTGTAAATTATACGGATTAAAATTAAGATAGTCCTTAAATTCTGTTAGAGAGGATAAATCCCCTTTCCAAATAAAAATGCAGTCATCGATGTAGCGCCGCCACAGGACCAGGTTTGCACCGTATGTGGTGTTGTTCCAAATAAATTCTTCTTCCCACTTTCCCATAAATAGATTAGCATAACTGGGTGCAAACCTGGTTCCCATGGCAGTGCCCTCTATTTGGAGGTAAAATTGTTTTTGTGCCCAGAAAAAATTGTGGCTCAAAATAAAGGCGATGGCTTGTACAAGAAAACTGATCTGGTCATTCTTTAGTTCCGAATATTTAGCAAATGAATGTTGGATGGCTTCACATCCTTGAAGATGTTCGATTATTGTGTATAGTGAAGTAACATCCGCTGTCACTAAAAAGAACCCTTCATTCCATTCAATTTTAGACAGTGTTTGTATCACTTGGGTGGTGTCCTTCAAATATGATGGTAATTGAACCACCATTGGTTGTAGAAGTTTATCTACATATTGGGAGAGATTAGATGTTAATGAATTGATACCTGAAATAATCGGTCTTCCAGGGGGATGGGTGAGGTTCTTGTGTATCTTGGGTAGATAGTAGAATACTGCTATCTTTGGATATCGGCACCAAATGAAATCGTGTTCTCTTTTAGTTAAAATTCCTTTATCTTTACCTTCATTTATTAGTTCCAAAAACTCTTCCATGAAGGTTTCCTGAGGATTATTTGTAAGGGGTAAATATGTATTTGTGTCACTAAGTAATCTCGTAGTTTCCTTTTCATAATCCACCATATCCATTATAACAACACCTCCCCCTTTGTCTGCAGATCTTATTATAATATCTGAGTTGTTAGTGAGTGACTTTAAGACTTTCCTTTCTTTGATGGTTAGGTTATCTTTGGTCTTTCTTTTTATATCTACTTTCCTTAGATCTTTCTCAACTAATCTCTCAAAAACTCTAATACTATCACTTTTGATTTGTTTTGGATAAAAAATAGATTGCGGATGAAGATCCGTGTGTGTATATCCCTCTTCTTCCGGAAATTTTGTGAACTTATTCTCTAAAAAGAATTTTTTGACTGTAAGTTTTCTTATAAACTTATGGAGATCTATAAAGGTATTGAATTGAGAGCTCTTTTTATTTGGGGCAAACTTCAAACCTTTTTTAAGTATATTCATTTCATCATTATTCAGATTATAACTCGATAGATTAAATACACTTTTTGTCTCCTGTATTTCTTCTGAGTTCCCTAAATTTGGTTTATTTCTTCCCTGTCTTCTTCTCTTCTTTGTCTTTTTCTCAGGATTGGGGATCGTGGTTGGTCTCCCCTTTCCCTCCATGATTTCTTTAGTGCCGTTCTGGTCTCTTCTCTTTTCTCTAAAAAATCCCCTAAAAAATCCCTCTTCTGGGTAAGATTTATATGGGATTCTACAAGTGGTGTACTCTTAGGGGACTTCCTTGGGGTTTCTCTTTTTTCTCTTAGAGTCTTCTTTCCAATGGGTGAAGGATAGTTCCTTCTCCCTTCATACCTTCTATGTTTAGTCTCAAACTGTACTCTATTAGGGGAAGGGGATTGTCGATGTTGATAGTTGTAGTTATTTCTCTCAATTGTGTATCTGGGAGATCTTCCCCTCTTCCTCTCCATATTTCTCTCCTGATTTCTGGGGTAGTTCCTAGATCTCGTATAGGAGTGTTGTTGGTGGTAATGTTTCCTTTCTTTTTCATTTATTGAGGGATTAAATCTCTCTCTCTCCATCATATTGCCCTCATTTCTCCATCCATTTCTTATAGCATTAGGGGTTCTAGTCACTTTTGGTTGGTGATGTTCTATCCACATTGATTTCCTATTATCTTGTCTTTTCCAATTTCTCTGAACCCCCCTATCATAGTCATCTTTGTCTCTCAGAATCTTCTTCCTTTTCATCTCCCCTATTTTGCTATCTAGATCTTTCACTTTTCTTTCTACCTTATCAAGTAACTCTGCGTACAATCCATCTTTGGTTTCTATAAGTAATCCCTTTTTTAGAAGATCTATTTCAATTTCCAATTGTTCTAGTTCTTTCTTTTTTTCTCCAATCAAAAAAATTATTAGGAGTAGGGACCCTTTATCCAGCAATTGGTCCCATTTTTTTAAAATATTTTCATCCTTCTTTTTATAGGCTAGGGGTTTTTGTAATCTTAACCCCCTAGGTACTATGTTATTCGAAACATAGAATTCAAAACTCGTAATATCCCACCAGATTTGGGTTTCTTTTTCCAATAGATCCTCTAACTGATAAATAGTTCAGAATGAGCCTCTTCATTAACTCAGTGGACAATAGTAGGAGTTCTTTTTTTTATTCAGCAGCCATCTATGGTTTGGCTTCACCTACTTTCCTGATTTTTGTTTAGACTATCTGGTGTATATACAATGCAGATATAACCAAGATGTGCAGTAGAAAAACATTATTAACATATATGAGATGATGCAACTCTTTAACATATATTGTTCTTTGAAACAAATATTAACTAAAAGTAGGATGCAGACAAACTCTGGTGATACCACTTCCCCATACACAGCAGGTATGTCTTGAAGTAGAAATTACCTAGTCAGGTGACCCTAAGCTTACAAGGGGAAGTAAAACCTGATAATATTAGCAGAATCCAACTCACAACATCAATGATGCTTAGGACCTCTTATTCAAGATACTTTCTTTTCAGAAAACACAACTTTGGAATATGCAAAAATCACCAGAAATACAATGTACAAACGAGCGTCTGACACAAACCTATTCAGAATTTACAATAAATGATTGATTCCAGTTTATAAATAAGACACGTCTAATAAAATGACTGTTGTTTTCTTCATTTCTTGTTTTAAAAAAAAACTAAAACAAAGAAAGTATTTCATTGACAATCAAAAACAAACAAGGACATTTACAGGGTTATTTACTAAAGTGAGAACTCAAAGTGCATTTCAAATTTAAGGCCAGAGTTTCAGAGTCACATTTCAGCTATTTTGACCTTACATTTTAATTCAGTTTGGATTCACTTTGAATTATTACTTCAATAATTAACCTTGAAAGTTTAAAATGTTCTGAAAATTAGCTAGAGTAATTTTTTTCATATAGGTCATTCAATATTTATTTGCCAGAAATATTGAACATCATGGTGTTCATTTGCCATGATTTTTTATCATAATAGATTTTAAGATTTAAGTATGTTTCACTTCTGCCTGTAAATACAGTCTGCTAATTTATCCAATGTTGCTAGAAGAAAAATTACCTTTTGAAATGTTTTAAATTGTCTTCTATTATCCAAAATGTGCAAATTTCCAATTATTGGCAAAGGTTTTGGTCCTGGAGGAAAGTTTTTGTACTTATTTCCATTCCGGTCATAAAAAGTATTTAGCAAAAAAAGAAAGACAATTATTGATAGAAGTACGGAGACTGGATCAATAGCAAACATGATTCCACGAAAATCTTAAGTGAGAAAAGAATAAATAGAAATGTTTTTTTTTTTCCTCAGATCATTAAAAATGTTAAAATGTTTAGGGTTATAATTGGGTTTTACATACTGATTTTTCAGCTTCATAATCTAATTGGAAAATAATATAATTTACCAACAAACATTTTTGTCATAGACATAAAACAAGAAAGTAGGGGTGATTTTGATTGGGGAAAAATTAAAGGCACAACATAGTGTTTAATAGTGTATAAACCTTTGCTTAAAAAACAAAAGTTAAATTGGCCACTCACATTTTTAATGCCAACTTCAAGATTTCAGATAATCTTTAAAGAGATCACTCTCTTGCTTCAGATCCGTGACAGTCTCCGGCAGGGCTGCCATCAGAAATTATGGGGCCCCTGACACAGCTCAAGGTCTGGGCCCTCCGGGACATGCCCGCGAGTTTGCCCACAGGGATGCAGTGTGTACTGATTGTGATATGTGTATAATGGATGTAGAATGTGTGTAGTGGATGTAGAGTGTGTGTGTAATGGATGCAGATTGTACATTTGTGTAATGTAAGAGGTTTATATTAGATGCAGAGTGTGTTTGTGTAGTGAATGCAGAGGGTGTGTGTAGTGGATGTAGTGTGTTTATAATGAATGCAGAGTGTGTTTGTGTAGGTATGTAATGTGTGTAAAATGAGAGGCGGGGGCATTTCATTTTTTTTTACTTTAAAAAAATATATATTTTACTTTTTAATATTTTATTTTACTCCCCCCTCCCAACTTCTTACCTGGCCAAGGAGAGGGGAGATAACATTCCCTGGTGGTCCGGTGGCTAAGTGCTCTAAGCCAGCCACTGGACTCTGCAGAGGGAGCCCAAAGCACACACTGACATCCCTTCCCAACAGCTCCTGTCTCTAACTCTCACAGCCTGCTTGCCGCTCGGAGCGTTGCCATGGTAACCCTAGGCAACGCTCTGACGGCCAAGGGGCTTGTGATATTAAGACAGGGGAGCTGCTGGGAAGGGAAGTGAGAGTGTGCTGCAGGCCCCCGGCTACCTATGTGTTGGGAAGGGTCCCAGCAGACAATTGAAGGACTAACTGGACAATTTGGGGATTTTAACCCCCTAAAGGATGGCATTTGGGTCTCTAGGACTCATTTTTAGGGGGGGCACATGGTGGGCCAGGGACAAAAGCAGGGGGGCACATTTAACCCCACCCTCATTGCAGTTTGACCCCGCCCCTGCCGCATGTTAAGCCCCGCCCGACAACATTTTTATTTTTTTTCCTTGATACAGTGCCATAGTTGCCAACATTTGAAAAAAATTTCCAAGGACATTTTGCAGCACAGCTATCAATTACTACCTTGAAAGTTTACCACACCCACTGCTGCAAAACTCGGCCCACTATGTCCAACCCACATAATTAATCTCCGCCTACTTATCACAGTACAGATTACAGTCTACTCATTAAAGAGAGAATTACAGGGAATTGAGATGGTAATTTTAAACTTAAGGCCAAAGTAGCCGAGTTAGAAACATTCTCCCATTCAGCTGCACTATTTCAAACTAATGTTGGAAATTCCCATCACAATTCCCTGCAATTCTCTTTATTGAGCAGACCTTTAAAACACCAAGTTCCCACTAACAGTACCATGTATCCATGGTATGCGATAGACACATTCACAGCACAGCATCTATATCAGGCAGGTACATTTTATCACTTTTAGGTGAGTTGGGTATCGGTGGTGACACTGTCTGTACAAATATAAAAAAAAGACCTTGTGTAAATGTGCTTCAGTCAGAGTTGTGTCTTTACCATATAACATACATTAGTTCACTAAAATAATTATATTGAGGAGTGAATATAGTTTAAAAAAAAAAAAGCTGAAAATAGGAAATGAAAGATATTAAAGGAAAATTTACAGAATGGAATAAAAGAGAGAAATGGGAGCAAAAGGAAAACATATGCACATATTCCATTAGCCCCTTTTCATGCCACCAATTCAACATGTTAAACGTCTCTGATTGAGACTTCAGGCACCACTCTACTGCTTCTAATTCCTCTAGTTCCCGGAATCTGTGGGTATTATACATGGATTATACAGAGAGCAGCACTATACAGGGAGCACTGACTATTCCGGGATATTATACAGACACAGGTCTGTATTATACAGAGAACAGCACTATACAGGAAGCACTGACTATTCCGGGATATTATACACACACAGACCTGTATTATACAGAGAACAGCACTATAGTATTATACAGATAGCTGAGCATATAACCCATGTCCCAATCTGTAGACTACAAGTACCTGTCAACAGCAGCTCCCACACGTGTGTAACAGGGCTAAAGTGTGCGGCAGCTCACACAGATGATTTAGCGATAAAGCACACTCGCTGGCAGAGCCAAACTGGGAATCCAAAGCAGCCCTGGAAAAATTGTATGCCATTCCTACAAGTCATTATCTATCTATCTATCTTGTACAGTAAGTACACAAGCTCACTGACATGCACAAATAGGCTCACTGACAGACAAAACTCTCTGACTCACACACAAACTCACTACAAAGAAGTTCAGGGACACACACAAGCTCACTAAAGACAAGCTCACTGACAGAAACACATGCTCACTAAATAGAAGCTCACTGACACACACAAGCAGTACCATCTTAACAGCGTTATGGGCCCCCGGGCAAAGCAGTGCACTGGGGCCCTTCCTACACAACAACTCACATGAATAAAAATTTTAATTATTGAAAGACTGCATACACACACACACACACACAGACTGCTGAGTCCATACACACACAGACAGACTGCTGAGTCCATACATACATAGACTGCTGAGTCCATACATACATAGACTGCTGAGTCCACACACACACACAGACTGCTGAGTCCATGCACACATAGACTGCCGAGTCCATACACACATAGACTGCCGATTCCATACACACACACACAAACTGCTGAGTCCATACACACACACAGACTGCTGAGTCCATAGACACAGACTGCTGAGTCCATACACACAGACTGCTGAGTCCACACACATAGACAGCTGAGTCCATACACACACATAGACTGCTGAGTCCATACACACACATAGACTGCTGAGTCCATACACACATAGACTGCTGAGTCCATACACACTCAGAGACTGCTGAGTCCATACACACTCAGAGACTGCTGAGTCCATACAGACACACACACACATACTGCTAAGTCCATACACACAGGCAGCTGAGTCAATACACACACACACACAGACTGCTGAGTCCATACATACACACACACACACACACACAGAGACTGCCGAGTCCATACACACACACACACACACACACACACACACACAGACTGCCGAGTCCATACACACATAAACTGCTGAGTCCATACACACACACAGACTGCTAAGTCCATACACACAGACTGCTAAGTCCATACACACAGACTGCTGAGTCCACACACACATAGACTGCTGAGTCCATACACACATAGACTGCTGAGTCCATACACACACACAGACTGCTGATTCCATACACACACAGACTGCTACGCCCACACACACACATAGACTGCTGAGTCCATACACACACACACAGACTGCTGAGTCCATACACACACAGACTGCTGAGTCCATACACACACACACATACAGACTGCTGAGTCCATACACACACACAAACTGCTGAGTCCATATACACACACAAACTGCTGAGTCCATATACACACAGACTGCTGATTCCACACACACACACAGACTGCTGAGTCCAAACACACACACAGACACTGTAAAGGATCCTTCTATTCGTGCAGCGATGATCCTTGCAGCTTCTTCCAAAATCCAGCTGAAACAAAGTGATAATAACTCCCAATCCCCCAAACATGAGTCGAGACTTCATTAAGGGGTAAAACGATCTGATTTACTGTGGGCTACCTGCCCGGTATTTATGCAGGTCTCCCACCTGGTGGACACTCCCCTAGGGGACCAGATGGAAGACTGGGACAAAAGCATTACAGTAGCCAATCACAGTGGCTATAACATAAGCACTCCCCTTTTACATAAATCACTCCCTCTTTTCCATCCTGGAGATAATTAACTTAAGTTAGTAAAAAGAGCCTTAATTATCTCCAGGTAGAAAGAAACATGGCTTTTCTTATTTTAGCAAAACAGCATAAAAACCTATAACTTAAATTTTAAAGAACATAAACTTTAAGTCCCACATATTTCACAGATAGTTTGGATCTGAGTGCATATTCTAGGCGAATAGCGCTCAGATCCCACGAACACAGTTCTCAGAAACGTCGACTGAAGTTTGGCTTTCGCCAGCCGTTCGCGTGATTGTAGCCGACAACAAGTTCCATACTGTAGCTATCTGGGGTTGGTCACTTTCGCGTACTTCCAACGCACGAATGAGGTAGTATCTCCGGCATTCGTGTGTTTTTCCACCGTACGAACGAGGATTTGAAGAGGTAGCAGCGGTGTTCGGCAAAATAAGTAGCCGAAATTAGTTCCAGGGAATCATCGCCATTTACCGCTAAGCGGTCGACAATCCAAAATGGCGATTGCCACGTGTTCGGTAAACGAACGCGGACCACCAGCTATTCCCCAATTAGTCTGTGGTTAACCGCAAAAGTCTGGGTGGTTAATAGGCGCCACACGACCTCAGTGGGAGGTCGGGTGGTTCGGTAGTTTATTCGTTTTTCTCGTTATTTGCACGAAATCACTCTGTAACCATCCAAATAACCGAACAGGCTGGTTCGCATGGTCTGTTCAATAAGGGATTTCGTTACACAGCTCCCCCTTAGTCCCATGGAACGGCATACCTGCTTAGATCCTAACGGGTCGGCTAAGGGATGTCCGACAAGAAAAAAAACTAAATAATTACTTTTCCAGTTCAGTTTGCCGAGACAGGCCATCTGCATTGGCATTCTGCTTCCCGGGGCGATATTGCATTGTAAAATTATAGGGTTGCAGTGCCAAGCTCCATCTGAGTAGTCTGGGGTTATCGCCCACTACTCTGTTAAGCCAAATCAAAGGGTTGTGGTCAGTCAGCACTGTGAAAGAGCGTCCATACAGGTAGGGTTGTAGTTTTTTAAGTGCCCAGACTAATGCCAGACACTCTTTTTCCACGGTGGCATAGCTGACTTCGCGTGTTAACAGTTTTCTGCTCAGATACGCCACCGGGTGATCCATGCCATCGTCTCCCACCAGGCTTAGTACTGCTCCCAGTCCAAACATGGAGGCATCTGTGTGGACGAGAAACCTTTTAGTATGATCAGGTGCCGCCAACACAGGAGATGCACTTAATGCAGCTTTGAGTTTCTGGAAGGCCTCCTCACACTCAGGGGACCAGGTTACTTGTCGGGGTAGAGATTTATTGGTGAGGTCCGTCACGGGTTTAGCAAGGGCACTGTACTCTGCTACGAATTTTCTACAGTAGCCAGCTGTGCCTAAAGAAGCCATGACCTGAGTTTTAGTTCAGGGTTGAGGCCTCAATTTTGGCTGGTTCTGGCCTCTGTTTCCCTGACCCTACTCTGTGTCCTAAGTACTGGACTTCAGACATGCCTACGTGGCATTTCTCAGGCTTCAACGTGAGCCCTGCATTCTGAATTCGAGTGAGCACTACTGAGACGTGTTCCAGGTGGGCTTCCCAAGTGCCACTGAAGATAGCTATATCGTCCAGGTAAGCACAAGCGAAGCCCTAAAATCCCTCTAGGAGAGGGTCAGCCATCCTTTGGAACGTAGCGGGGACATTCTTCATCACAAATGGCATAACCTTAAACTGGTATAGGCCAAATGGGTGACAATTGCCGATTTTGGAATGGCCTCAGGCTCCAAGGGGATTTGCCAATATCCCTAACACAAATCAATAGTGGTCAAATAATTCCCCCTAGCCATGCGATCAAGCAGCTCATCCACTCGGGGCATGGAGTATGCGTCTTTGACTGTCCTATCATTTAGCTTGCGGTAGTCCACACAGAACCGGGTGGTACCGTCTTTTTTAGGAATTAAAACCACTGGAGAAGCCCATGGGCTTTGAGACGGCTCTATTACACCCAGTTCTAACATGTCCTGGATTTCTTTTAACATACTTTCCTGTACGGCTTCGGGGATTCAGTAGGGTTGCTGCTGCAGAGGTAACTGGCCTGGGGTCTCCACTCTGTGGACTGCCAGGGTTGTGTACCCTGGGGATGCTGAAAACATGCCCCCGAACCCCCCCAACAATTGGGAAGCCTGAGCTTGCTCCTCTGGACTTAATTCGTTGCCCAACTGTACTTGTTCTACCCCTGTCGGTCCCTGAGGGAGCATATCCGGTAACGGAATACTCTCGCTATCCTCATATGCTGGAGCGCATACCGCAGAGACCTCCTCTGTTCTCTCGTGATATGACTTGAGCATATTTACATGGAAGGATCGACGGATCCTTCCATCTGAACAGTCTGTAACAATGTACGTGGTATCACTGATCCGCTCTATTACAGTGTAGGGGCCCTGCCAAGATGCTTGTAACTTATCGGTCTTAATGGGCTTGAGTACTAGGACCTTTTGTCCTACTTCCAATATACGGTCTCTAGCTCCCTTATCATACCAGTACTTCTGCCGTTGTTGGGCTGTCCGCAGGTTCTCCCAAACCGTTTTGGTCAGAGCCTGCAGACGGTCCCTCAACTCTAGTACAAATGTGACTATGGAGGTACCTGTGTGTTCCATATCGCCTTCCCAATGTTCCTGTACTAGGTCCAGGGGTCCCCGGACTCGTCTCCCGTATAGTAGTTCAAACGGTGAGAATCCGGTGGACTCCTGGGGAACTTCCCTATAGGCAAAGAGTAAATGGGGAAGGAACTTTTCCCAATTCCGACAGGTCTCTGTGAACGTGATGAGAATTTGTTTAAGGGTGCCGTTAAAACGCTCACAGAGGCCATTGGTCTGGGGATGATATGGAGAACTTAATATGGGTTTTACCCCACAGCTCTGCCAGAGCTGTTGGGTAACCACCACGGTGAATTGGGTTCCTTGATCCGACATTATCTCCCTAGGAAACCCCACCTAGGGGTTGCAATTCTGTTGCACATGGTTTTATTAGTGATTCCCCAGTTGTGTGTGCTTCTCCTGCAAGTGCTGTGCGGTCACTCTGTAAGAAGCCTCTGTGGCTTTTTCATTAGCATTTTGACATTTTTTGCTCATAAATTGTTTACTCTTCTGATACTCCTTTAGCGTTCACTTTAAAAAAAAACAAACAATGTCTTTATCTTTGTACTTTGTGTGGTTTTGCTCAAAATGACTATGTAATTTAGCAAGTACACATTGTGCTTCAGGACAATCTTCATTTCTGGCACTTGTGAATCCAAATGACAAGTAGCTATCATCATATTTTCTTTTCTTTGTTTGGCTAGCATTGTGTGCTCTTTTATATTTTTGACTTGTCACTTGTCTCTGCTATTTGAGGAACAGTAGATACAACTATTTCGGGCATGTTTTCTGGAAGTTTTGTTGTATCTTCTATCTCAGTTTCTAAAGTGCCGAACAGGTAGAAGTAGTAATATTTTTTCTCAGAAGAGTTTCCTGCTTTAGCCAGCTTTCCAAATTCATGGTTGTTTATTGGTAAAAACAAAAAAACAAAAAAAACCTTTGAAAAATACAGATCTCACAATCTGACTGAAAAGAATGCTGATTTTAATGATGCTCTTAGAAAGAACTGAACTAAAGCAGGATTTTTTTAGTTAGACTTGGAGTAAAAAGATTTGAACACTTTGAAAAATACAGTTAACAGTTTTTTCCCCCTTACAGAGTCATTCAATGTCCCTGATAGAGGCTTTCAATGCACTTGACAGAGCCTTTTAGTGTCCCTTACAGAACCTTTTAATGTCCCTAGCAGAGAATGTCAATGCCCCTCAAAGAGTTTTTCTATGCCCATGACAGTCATTCAATGCTCCTGACAGAGCCTTTTAATGTCCCTAGCAGATAATTTTTAATGCCCCTAACAGAATCTTTCAATGCCCCTGACAGAGGCTTTTAATGTCCCTAGCAGATAATTTCAATGGCCCTGACAGAGTCTTTCAATGCCCCTCAAAGAGTCTTTCAATGCCCCTGACAGAATCTTTCAATTCCCCTGACAGAATCTTTCAATGCCCCTGACTAAGCCTTTTAATTTCCCTAGAAGAGAATTGCAATGCCCCTGACAGAGCATTTTAATGTCCCTTACAAAGCCTTTTAATGTCCCTTGCAGAGAATTTCAATGCCCCTGACAGAGTATTTCAATGGCCCTGACAGAGTCTTTCAATGCCCCTCAAAGAGTCTTTCCGTGCCTCTGACTGTCTGTCAGTGCCCCTGATAGAGCCGTTTAATGTCCGTTACAGAGCCTTTTAATGTCCCTAGCAGAGAATTCTAATGCCCATGACAGAGTCTTTCAATGCTGCCTTTTAATGTCCCTTACAGAGCCTTTTAATGTTCCTAACAGAGTCTTTCAATGCCCCTGACAGAGTCTTTCAATGCCACTGACAGAGTCTTGCAATGCCACTGACAGAGCCTTTTTAATGTCCCTAACAGAGCCTTTTAATGTCCCTAGCATAGAACCTGAACATGCATAAATGGGGTGCTGCTGGAGCCAATTCATACAATACACAAGATCCAGCGCACTCACTCATCCACTAAATAACAACTTCAAAGCTTACAGATTTTATTAGTTTTTTTTAAAACAGCTAATCTAGGCAAAACAAAATGGGGGTTTAGTTATGGTATATGATCATAAATTGCATATGCCTGCCACAACATTAATGTATCCCATGGCAGGTCAACTCTAACAACCTAGTGTCTGAGATTAACCCACTTACCTGGGGGGAAAAAATCCACCTGGGGCTCTCTGCAGTATAAGGTTAAATAGGGACCTGGAATGAGGCACTTGTGACAGCAGCACCACCTTTACGCATGTTCAGATGAGTGCAGCCCTCTGGTTTCAGATATATATATATATATATATATATATATATTTGTAAGTCTAGGCCAACTCCTTGGTTTTGCACCCCTCATACTGCACCTGTGGGTAGCCATCTAGAACAAATGTAGTCAAATGGAATTTCAACTATTGGGTGATATGCCTCTTAACCTCTCCCTCCCTTCTGACCTCGCCTCTGAGGCTTGAGTACTCATCCTCACATCAGCTTATATTCCATATCCATATCTCATGCTGTACAGTATGCCAGGTAATGGTGCTGATATATAATTTGCCTGAAATGCCAGTTTAAAAAGAAAAAAGAAAGAGAAAAATAAAAACTTTTATGACCTATCAGGTTAACTCAGGCTAGTAACGTGAAATAAAACTTAATGAAAATGAAGTAAAGATAGTCGTATATAAGGCATAGGTCTCTGCGGGACCTCAGTGAGGCCTTGTAGTTAGCTGACTTTCCAGCACTTCAGTGCCCTATCTGCACTATGGAGGATTGTTCTTGCGCAAATTCCTTTTTGTCGCCTTGGCTACAGAGTTCTCCATCTACCCCATACTAGCATCAGCTGGATCCGGGGCCGAGGACGTTCCCTCCGCAGGGGAGAGTGGCCGTGGCAGTTGGACAGTGTCTCCGCATTGTACCACAAGAGTGCCAGATGCTCCCCAGAGTTATCTTATACTGTGCTCACACAATTGCCTGATAATGGACTGGAAACCCTTCCTCTCCAGTAGAGTTGAGAGCGGTAAGTCATCATAGACACGGATCTGGACACAGTGGTTGTAAGTATGCTCCCCGAGTGGGCCAGCATGGCTGCCTTAACTCTTATGTCCCTGGTAATGGCTATAATGTCCCTGGGAGCATTTGCTGGGGCTGTATGTGTCTTCCGGACCTGGAATGCTGATACAATGGCAACGTTCCTCCATCCCTCTTCACCCTTATTGCCACCGCCACTTTATTCAAGAACTCAAGCATGGCCTTCTGGCACCCCTCTTATTTAAAGTTTGTTGCGCCTGGAGCGATCATCAAATGTAGCAAGTTGTAGAGAGAATAAATGTTGTGTTGTTTGTATGTTGTGTAGTGAGCCTTTAACTTTAGACATTTCTTGCCTCACATTTATGATATCCTCTTCGATGGCTTGAACCCTGTCAGTGACCACCTGCATGTCAGCCTGAATCACTGCTATATCCCTATGTCATGGGAGTCAGTCTGTGTACCAGGGGGTGGCTTCTGTGTGCACTTCCCCATAGTTGTGGGCTGATCAATTGTGGGTCTGCTTCCTGGGTCCGGCTCTGGGGCACTCAGGAACAGGATAGAACCCAGCAGCTTGTCCAGGCGTGTAGGGAGGTGGTAGGCTACAGGCCTCCTCTTCTGACATTTCTGCCTCGAGCTCTGAAAAAACAGCATTTACCGGAGGCTGACGAACTCAGGTGGTGGTAGGATGAGCAGGAAGACTTGTGATATTTGGTGGATTAGTAGGAGCACCATCAGAGCAGCGGAAAATGACGTCTGCTCCGTTTCATGGTTAAGCCCCCCCTTTGGTTTGCTGGGCCTATTTGCCTTGAAGACCGGATGGAAGCCCAGTAATGAGAACTATCCCAATCATGACATATCATTTGCAAAACTAGACAACCCAGGATATCAAAATGGGGTATTCCAGCCTTTTTTAGTAGCCAAATATAGCGTTCATGTTTGGTTTTTTGCATTTTTCGCACACAAACTGCACTTTCACTGATAATATAATCATCGTGATACATTTGAATGTTTTAAAACACTCATATTTGTGTTTAATTAATTACATAAATATATACATAGAATTGAAATATGTATATGTATTTGTGTGGTAATATACGTAAATGTCTATTCTGTTACACTGCTGGTGTTAATGGGCAGTCCCCCGAACCAGATGGTTGGGATAGGTAAGTATTGGCAGGATCGGGGGCTGCAAACTGTTATGGCATTCTATGCCGCAGTAACGGCTTTTAAGTCCACGTAATGTGGGATGGCATAGAATGCCATAACTGCATTCATGGATTAATATTTTCATTAATTCAAATGTGCAATTTTATAGTTGGCAATACCATTCCTCCTTAAATTAATTGTAATTTTGGTCGGGTGTTGGCATTTAAAATAACCTTAATACTCCAGGAGTTATATTTTCTTCAGTAGCTATTTCCTATTTAATTTCCCATCATTGGTTATAGCTTTCTCTTTTTTATTATTATTATTATTATTATCATCATCATCATTATTTTATTATTTATACAGCGTCATCAAATTCCGTAGCACTGTACAATGGGATTATTAGGTAAGTAATGATATTTGTGAATCTCTGGTATGTATTTGTTCTATTTCAATTCTGTCCTGAAAAACATTGAGTTCAATCATAATATTGTTTCTGTAGTCAAATACAGACATATTGAAGTAGTTATAACAACCAGCCAACAAACCAAAAAGAGAGAAAAAAAACTAAAAAAAAAAAAAAGGAGATATGTTTCTAGCATTAATGATGTAGGTGTTTAGGTGATGGAAGGCAGCTAAAACACCCAAACCAGAGACTCTCTATTCCTGGTCAGATGGAGGGAGCATTGACTAGAGTGGTCTTCTGGGGTAGGCAGTATGTAGAGCTTTTAATAAGCTCCAATTAGAAGTGCCTGGGCAACATGATCCCACCTGTGGATATGGTGTGATTGTCTTGGTCCGATGGAGGATGGTCTGTTGTTTATTACTGCAAATTTCAAAGTGTACTCAATTATAAAAGCAGATTATGTCCAGGCCTCTGTAATACACGTTGAGAAAGCCCAAGCAGTAAGGCAAAATGCGTTAAAGTAATTTTGATTGCACTTTTTGTATTTTTTATATATTCTAATAAAGTATTATACTTTTTAACATTCTACTGGACCATCCCGCCTTGTTCCTGATATCTGGACAATGTATCCTTGGTGGGGATGATACCACCTACGCTGTAAGGACTGAGAAAAAAAATATTTTTGAGCCTCTCTTTTTCCTATTTATTTTATTCACTCATCCTTGCACAGCGAAACAAGACATTTGTATCAAAATTCATTTGTCTCAGGATAATTCTATGTGATGTCTAGGTTTCTATGAGAACAACTGTTAGAAGAAAATGAATTACATAAGAAGGACTTCCACATTGTGGCATATCATGAGATAAATGTGATATGTTGGTTTCCACCAATGCCCACAGAATCATAAAATTGGGTAAATATTTCAAACACAAGGCATTTGTTAGATTGTAAAATGTAGAGTCCATTTTATACTTTAAAAAAGAGCTTAGTTGTAGTATACTGAAATTCTGTATAATATAATATTAAAAAATACATTTATTTTATATTTTCATACAGTGTCTGTACATCAGTAAAACAAAGGATACAAACAGAGCTAAACATTCACACAGATAAATTGTATATGGGTTATTCTTTATATTATCTGGAAATCTATTTGTTTCTTAACCAAACATTCACCATCAAAAAAGTGCTCTAATTACGTGGCAAAGCACAGATCTTATGCACAGAAGGGCTTAAAGCAGCACCATATACAGGGGTGAGATCAACCTCTACACCAGGTGGAGGCCGGAATGTAAATGTTTGCATAAGTCTTGTAAAGATCAGGAACAATTCCATTTTAGCTAAGTTTTCCCCAGCACAGCTTCTTCGTCCTAAAATATACACACAAAGAATAGTTAGATAAGGTAAGTGAAGGATTTAGTTTTTAATTGTTTAATAATAATAAGAACAAGTTAAGAGTGTCTGTTTTATAATGAATGGAATAGTTTCAAAATATTTCCTTAAAGGAGCAGTATGAGCACCATAACTACAACTCAGTAACGTGTTTATGATACAGAGACTGTATTGGAGGCATCCAACATTTTTTGTCAGACATTTTGGGAGTGGATGTATCTGCATCTATAGCCTGCCACCTCTTCAAGGCTCTTTACCTGTCAATGCGCATTGGATGAAATTGATATTGGTAATGCTTAAATGTAAGTACGCATTATCAATATGGCTGGAGAGTAGGTGAGTATCAGTGAGAGCATGTTTTCGATCAAATCACTCTAAAAGGGTTTTGGGATATTGTCGATCGCTGTTTTGAATCACAGGTGAACTGCAGTACTTATGGTGCGCAGAGTACACTTTTAACATCACATAAAGTCAAAAGTTGTTTATTCACTAAACAATTGTGGTGATATGAGAAACACTTTAAAATTTTATTGCCAGTCTACAAATTTACTCTGCAAAACTGGAACACATTGTTTAACTATTATGTGAGGTTCTATGAAGGTTTTTAACTTATAGTATGTTATTTCTGAGGAAATCAAAGCAGAAAAATACAATGTTTATAGGGTGCATTGATTCCCACACTGTAAAACAAAACGCAGATTGGCTGATAGAGCACAAAATTACTATTAATATTTTTTTTACTTACCGCTGTAAACATTGTATGTTAACTTATGCTTACAACAGCTGTAAATATATCCAATTATATACACATGTACATGTTATGAAAAAACAAAACAAAAAAAAAATTGTCAAGTTGGTTTAACCTGCTGAAAATGGGATAAATGCTTAAATTTTTACAAAACTTCCATTTGAGTCAAGAAAATGCTGAGGATAAAACTCTTCTGGTCTCTCAAAATAAGCCTTGTCTTGTAGGGCAGATGACAAAATTGGTAAGACCTCTGTTCCCTAAAAAAATGAATAGAAAAATATAAGGAATAGTACATTTTTATTTTTTAGTAATTATTAGTAATTTTTAATTTTTTTTTGTGATGGGAAAAATATACAATTACATAAAATGATTATTTCTATTATTCTGCCACCTAGTATTAGAGAGAGGAAAATATTCTTCCGGTAGAGGTTTTTCAAAAATAACATGATTTGTCCACTATACAATGAACTTTCTAAAATCTGAAAAAAATAAAAGTGAAGTACAAATTTTATGGCAAGAACAGAAACAAAATTATAATTCAACAAATTTTAAGCTTGGATATTTTAGTGATTTCAGTCACTTTTCAGAGCACATATTGTAATGAACAGTTAGCAGGAGGAAAATATTAGCTTTTGAGTAAGCTGTGAAACATAAGGATTTTGAGCATAATATTAGCATTATTAAACCAATCGTTGGCACAAAAAACCCCATCAAACAGAAATAAACTCCTGCCACTAAGTGAGACGGAGGAAATAGTTGGATCTTGAGATGCCCATCAATATGTCTGAGTTTGTCAGCAATGAAATTAACAATTGCCATTGACTTTCCATCGGTATTAGCTTGTAGTTGGTGAACTAAACAATTGTAAGGTACATTATTACCCAGCAAAACCTTAGTAAGTGGTTAAAAAGATTGTCTCCACAACAGTGAGCTGTGAGCCCGCAAAAGTGAGAAATAATGAGTCGGTCAGCTCCCAGAAGTGCTGGCTTATCAGAGTCTTTCTGAAAAAAACATCTCTGGATGCCTCCAGTGGAGCTATAGCACCCTTCATAAGACATCAATTTCCATCTATGGCTTCCCATAGATGTGAATGTTGTTTGTCCTAGCGCTATCTTATTCTTTTAATAAAATGCTACAGGAAAATCCCATATTACTTAATTTGTTAGTGTATAGACAAAAATGTACAAAACTGCAATCTATACTTTTCCAATCATGTCACAACTATATTTGTTTATTTTACAGTTTTTATCAATGAGAAGCAGGACTTTTTAAAATGAAAGTCACATTATTAAATGTTTCCTCTCATACTTTTTACCATTTATTACAAATTTGACAGTATAATTACTAGGGCAAGAATAAGCTGTAACATTTAAAGATCATTACTTAGATACACATAGTGTCAGAGTTTGTCAAGCAAAATAAAAATGGAATTTGCTAAAAAAAATCTCCAACTCAACTATATTCACAACGTATCGATGTCAGCCAACAGTTTGCAAATTAATTTCTTAAATCAATACAGATAAGTATGTGATAAATAACCTCCATATGTAATATATAACCCTATATGTTCATACAGGGAATATGTATTCAGTGTGAATATGTAGTCTGTCTGGATTTTAAGAACACTTTAAGTAAGTAATATATATTATACAAACCATTTTCTGTAATATTGCTGTACCGATGACTTCACCAATCTCCTATTTTTTGTCCTTAATCTCTTAACATTATCCTCTTGGCATCCTGGTGGAAAACAACTACCCTGTTCATCAAACCTTTTTTTGCCCAGTGTTCTCTAAACACCTCAAGATAATAAACCAACTATATTAATAGTGATTTAACAGCTGAATTCAAGCCTGTTATTAAAGGGCCACTCCACTAGAGGGTGTTCACAGCAGGGTGGCACCCAACGCAGCTCGTGGGCATCACTGGAGCGTGGCTGGGGGGATACGGAGGACAAAGACGATACACCTCCCACAGAGGACAGCTTGTCCTTGCCTCTGAGCAGCCTGGCACACATGAGCGACTACATGCTGCAGTGCCTGCGCAACGACTGCCGAGTTGCCCACATTCTAACTTGTTCTGATTACTCGGTGGCCACCCTGCTGGATCCCCGTTACAAGGACAACGTGCCGTCCTTAATTCCCTCACTGGAGCGTGATCGTAAGATGCGGGACTACAAGTGCACGCTGGTAGATGCGCTGCTGAGGGCATTCCCAACTGACACCAGGGGCTCAGTGGAAGCACAAGGCAAAGGCAGAGGAGGAGGAAGAGGTCGCAAACGCAGCTGGGGCACCACCAGCACCTCAGAAGGCAGAGTTAGCATGGCCGAAATGTGGAAAAGCTTTGTCAGCACGCCACACAACCAGCACCACCTTCTGATATGGAACGTCTTAGCAGGAGGCAGCATTTCAGCAACATGGTGGAACAGTACATGTGCACACACCTACACATACTGACTGATGGGTCTGCCCCATTCAACTTCTGGGTCTCCAAATTGGGCACATGTCCTGAGCTTGCCCTTTATGCCTTGGAGGTGATGGCCTGCCCTGCAGCCAGTGTATTGTCTGAACGTGTGTTTAGCACGGCAGGGGGTGTTATCACAGACAAGCGCAGCCGCCTGTCCAGAGTCAACGTGGACAAGCTCACGTTTATTAAAATGAACCAGGCATGGATCCCACCAGACTTGTCTGTACCTTGTGCAGAATAGACATTTATACCGGCCTCACCCAGCCATTGTTATACTCAAGTGCACTTATTCTTTGTTTTCTTTTTTTATATGTCCTAATATTTTGAGGGCTACCCCAATTAAAAAAAACAAACAAACAAACAAATAAAAAAACAGTGTTGGCTACCTCCTCCTCCTCCACAGCTGCTTCCACCTACACCACCACGGTTACCGCCTTCTCAACCTATGGGTCACTTAGTATAAACTATGTACACATTAGCAGAGGCTTGTGAAGGCCTTTTCTCCATGCATCAGGAGTTGAGCATTTCTCCATGCATCAGGACTGCAAGAAATGCACAACAGGCCGCAAATGTTTCTTTTTTTATATGTCCCAATATTTTGGGGGCTACCCCAATAAAAAAAAAATACATATATAAAAAAACAGTGCTGGCTACCTCCTCCTCCTCCACCGCTGCTTCCACCTACACCGCCAAGGTCACCACCTCCTCAACCTATGGGTCACTTAGTATAAACTAGGTACACATTAGCAGAGGCTTGTGAAGGCCTTTTCTCCATGCATCAGGAGTTGAGCTCAGTTTGAACAATGAGAGAATAACCTGCACTCCAACTCTCTCTCAAATGGATAATTCTGGTGATCCTCCTGACAGCCATGCTTTAGATTTTGCTTTATGTTCTTCCAAAGCTAAAATCAAAGATTCCATCTAGTGCTATTTCATGGCTCAGCTGTATTTTCAATTTTTATGTTATTTTTAGTGATTTCCCTATCCACATTTGTTTGCAGGGCACTTGTCCTACTCTTACCCCCATTGTACTTTCTTTTGCAGCTCTCTAGCCCTTTCCAGGAGTTTTTTAGAGGCATTTTTGTGGCCAAAAGTTCGGGTCCCCATTGACTTCAATGGGGTTTGGGTTCGGGGTCAAGTTCGACCGAACCCGCTGGACCCAAACATTCATGTGTCCGTTTAACTCTAGATAATTGATCCTGGGTCCTTCAGTATCCTAAGCCTGCTTTCCTGTCTCTGAGCCTTTTCTGAACTTATGGTTCTAGCCCTGTTTACCTGGCCTTGTCTGCAGCACTATGGGGCTGGACATCTCCTTTGATTACTACTTGTCTCTTTAAGTCCACCTGTGGCCTCTTGCAAATTGGAACTTTGCCTGACTACTCTTCTGGATTTGCCCTTGTCTGTTTCTTCGTACCCGGTTATTGTTCCTGCCAAGCCCCTGTGAAGAGATTCACAACCCAGGTAACTTCTTACCTGGTTACCGTGGGTTGTGTTTATCTGCAAGGGTGAGCAAACATCTCTGCCCTTCGGACTCCAACCAATGTAAGCCCATTACACGAAGGCAACATAACCAATCTGGCAAATTTCAATGTGAAAAAACAGAAAATCAAGCCTTATATTTGACCTTGTTACTTTCAAAAACATTATAAAACCTGTAAATGGAGGGTACTGTTATAGTCGGGGGACTTCACTGAACACAAATATTAGTGTTTCAAAACAGTAAAACGTATCACAACAATTATATCATCAGTGAAAGTGCCGTTTGTGTGTGAAGAATGCAAAAAAACTTTATTGTCCAATACTGGATAAACATCTAAATATCCCAGACACCAAAAAAAAGTGATAAAATAATAATAATGAAAAAAAGATAGTAGTAAGTATAAAAATAGGACCAACTGCTGGAGCTGATGTGTACAAAGTGTACTAATTACGAAATAGCCAGATAGTGATACTGATGAAGTGGAAACAGTATCTGAGGGGAGATATACAGTGTATACATAGGTAGATACAATAAGGTAGCCCTAGTTGTACTGGCCAAGTGGCAACAGAATGGCTATATCTTATAACTAGTCAAGCTCAAAGTAATGTAAATCTATCTGTGTGGCTCTAAGTACAGCATGATCAAATATTTATGTGGCTTGTCAGAGAGTATGTGGGAAGTTCACAGCAGACACCAGATGAAATAGAGTCATGATAGGGAAAACTGACAGTGGCTAACATAAGAAATTGCTCTCCCCTACTAGGATAGTCTCTGATAGCACCTAAATGTAGGTAACTGAGCACACAGTTGCATCCTGATAGATTCAGGGCATAAGGGTATCAAAAAGTAGAAAACAAAAAATGGCTTGAATAAACCTATATAGTGTAAAGTATATAAAATCTGAAGTAGATATTTAGTAGATAACCCACAAAAAACAGGTTCTAACCTTAATTGGCAGATAAGGGATAGCGTCCAGTATACTACTGCAGATCCGTAAATGGACTGCACTAATAAATCTCTGGTTCACAGGATAGATTATTCAGTACTGTGCTAGAAGAGTCCCTGGGAAAAAGAGACCTCTAGAATGGAAAGAGCAACTGAATGCTTATCATACTTGTATTGTCTGGTATCGCTCAGGTATGCTGTGCTAAGCTTAAAGAGTAGAGAGTGAACTGAACAACTGAGTGCTTATCATGCTTGTAGTATCCTGTATTGCTCAGGTATGCTGTACTTCAACTGGAGGAGTAGTGAACTGCTTATCGAGAGCTAGATAAACCCATGTGTGAGAAATTCCCAGAATCACTGGCAGTAGCAGTTCACTACTCCTCCAGTTGAAGCACAGCATACCTGGCCAGTATGACTAGGGTTACCTTATTGTATCTACCTTTATATACACTGTATATCTCCCCTTAGATCCTGTTTCCACTTCATCAGTATCACAATCTGGCTATTTCATAATTAGTACACATCAGCTCCAGCAGTTGGTCCTATTTTTATACTTACTATTATCTTTTTTTCATTAATATAATTTTTCACTTTTTTTGGTGTCTGGAATATTTAGATGTGTTTATCCAGTATTGGACAATAACATTTTTTATTTTCTATGCATATGTATATTAGGCACTATATATTACTCACTAATTTCCATTATGGTAATAGGGCTGGAATCAGGTGTGCTTCTTTGCAGACCTGTTTCAAGCCCTCTCTATTATCGAGTGTGGAGGTGTTGAAGGTGTTGGAGTGGTTTTTGCATTGAGTTTTGGAGGACATTTTTTGCAGCAGTTTTGGGACTTTTTTGAACTTTTTGGGTGCATTTCTCAAGTTGTGGAAAGGTAGATAGCTGAGCTTCGTCGTTTGCATGCCTTTTACTGTGTGTTCTGGTTGTGGGTTGGTTTCCATGCCAGCTCATTTTGACTTTTTCTGACCTTCAGAACGGATTAATTGGTTTTCAATATATAAAAAATTCAGTTAGAATAAAATTACATATATAATTCTTTAAACATTTTTTTATGTGTTTACTTATTATTTCTATTTTATAATATACAATACATATTTAATATATACGTGTGTATTTTTATATTAATATATGCATATAATAATATTAAAATACTCTTAGTATGACTGATATGTGTGTGTGTGTGTGTGTGTGTGTATATATTTTAATTTACAAAACATTTTTATTTTATTTTTAACAGAAGCAGTTCTTTTTTTGTAGTTTTTGTTCAGGCAGTCCCCCTGCAGGCAGCACTATGGATCATATGGCCTGCAGGGGCCTAATTTGGCGAGGGGGGACTGTCTGGGCTGTCAAACAGTCCCCCCAGACCGGGAGCAGCTTTGATCACTGGCGGGGGAATGGGGGCGATTGGGTAAGTAATAGATTTGCCACGGACGCAGCCCACTTATAACCAAAGTCATCTTCAAGGCATATTTGTAGGAATTATGAAAAAAAATAAACCAAAATTGTTTATGTGAGTTTACCATTATAAATAGTTGAAACATATTTATAAAATGACAGTGAAAAGTTTTATTCGTATGGATCTATAGTTAAAACAGTAAACCATGGAGTAGATGACACAAACATAACTTATACAAATACTGCAAGGTACTCACTCACCTTAGGAATAAAATATCCTCGAAATGTGACATCACAAGTAGTCACATGTGGAAGGTTGTTAGGTATAATGTTACCAAACCTTTGAATTTCATGAATGACAGCATCTGTATATGGCATGTCCTTTCTGTGTTCTATTTGAGGCTGAGAAGATCCAATGACATTGTCAATTTCATTTTGGACATTTTCTGTAAATAAAAATTGCATTGGATTAAAATATTTACCATTTCTATGTAACACACAGAATATACAGCTGCAAAATCAATACATATATTTACTTGTGTTTATTAAACCCACATCTGCTGAAGCTTCACACACACAAAAAATTATATATATATACATATTATTTATTTTACTAAAAATGTTTACTATAGTTTCTAGTATTTAAAGATTTGATACCAAGCTTCTTTCCCCAAAAAGAACACTAAAGCAGAGATGTATTGGTATTAAATCTAGTAACGCGTGTATTTAATTTTAAACATAATATGTACAGGGTTGGACAAAATTCAGAGTAGGGTTTGAGGAGTCAAAGATATTACATACATTCAATGCCTAAAGTATGGAGATTTGTTTGACTAGTAACGGAAGATGACCTCTTTTAAATGAACTCCATTTAACGTTTCCAAAAAAACAGGCCCTATCGATTGCATTATTCATAACATTAGTTAATATTTGAGGCTCTAGTGCTCAAATTTCTGCATGGATATTTTCCTTGAGCTGCTCAAGTGTACATGGTTCGTTTACCAATACCAGCTCTTTCAGATATCCTTACAGGAAGTAATTGGGAGCTGAAAGGTTGGCAAATATGACGGCCAATTAATCTACAGCTGTATCAGGGTGTCTATTTTGTCCCTGGCTGTATTGGCAGTAGTCCCATTTTGTTGAAACCACATTTTAGGACAACTTTCCACTAAAGAATGAAAAAAAAAAATAATGATATACCTGCCCTTTTGAAGATAAAATTCCACTATTTTTACTTGTTCCATTATGAAATTACCCATGATGAATCTACCAAGACTCATTTATAATATGTACCTGAAACAAAAAATGTAACTACATACAAATACCTTATTAACCTGTCAAATCCTACTCTAAATTTTGGCCAGTCCTGTATATGAAATGTGTAAATATAAGATAAATGTGAAATATAGATTTCTCTGTTATACTTACATATTAAAGGAACACTATAGGGTCAGGAACACAATCATGTATTCCTGAACCTATAGTGTCAAAACCATCATCTAGCCCTCCCTGTCCCGCTTGCCTCTCTAAATATAGTAAAATCTTACTTGTATTGAAATTTGCAGCTGCTGCTGTTGCCCCTGAAGAGTCTGCATGCCTGACATCATCAAAAGTGATTCTGTGAGCCAATCACAATGCTTACCCATAGGATTGGCTGAGACTGGCAAGGTGGCATATCGGGGCAGAGCCAGTACAAGTCAAACCGCTCTGGTCAATCAGCATCTCCTCATAGAGATCCATTGATTCAATGCAGCTCTGTGAGGAAAGTTCAGTGTCTGTATGCAGAGGGTGGAGGCACTGAATGGCAGTGCTGCTCACTGTGCAGCACTGCTCCAGGAAGCACCTCTAGCAGCCATCTGAAGAGTGGCCAGTCAAGTTATCACTAGGCTGTAATGTAAACATTTTCTCTGAAAAAGACAGTGTTTACAGCAATAAGCCTGAAATGAATGATTATACTCACCAAAACAAATGCAATAACTGTAGTTGTTCTGGTGACTTTAGTGTCCATTTAAGCTATGCATTTCACAATGATTTCGAAATCAAATAGAATTACATTAAATATTTATTTATTTTTACATAGGTTTTTGGAGGGGTTTATATGATGGTGCATTTAACGTTTCACAATCCATCAAATAGGTCTGAAGGAAATATATAAATTCTCAAAACTGATATTACAATGGTTAAAATATGCCTATGTATGGCTACAATACTACATACAGTATTGGCATAATTGCAACCTACCTTCTTTTATGTAGTATTTATTTTGATCACATTTGATATTTTCCATGTGCATATTTTATATAAAATAAAATGTGTTTGTGTGTATAGTGTGTTTTAAATGAACCAAAATACATGTTTATTATTGTTGCAAATAAATTGGAACTGACTTGATTAATATTTAATTTAAGTACAAAAAGGTTATTGAAAATTTGTGTGAATATAGCAATTTTGTTACTCACTTCATGAAATTGCTACCAGTTATTTGCATGATAGATCGTGTTAATAGGGAGCATCGATAACATTATTAACCAAGGCCAAGTGTTTAGGCAAATTTTTTCATATTGTCTGTCTAGTGTAATCTATATATGTGTTATCAAATATTTACTTTCAGGAAAATCTATCAGAGCTCCTTCAATTCAGAAACTTGGTGAATTAATCAGTTATGTTGCTTTGAAATGTAGCAAAGTCGACCATGTCTCCTACAAAAAAAACAATGTCTTACTTTGGATCCCTGGATATTTCATCATTAGCACAATGCCCCATCGAAGAGTCGTGGAGGTTGTTTCCGTTCCAGCTGCAAACAAATTGCCTACAAGAGCTGTTAAATTATCATCGTGGAAAAATAATCCTTTGGGTTTTTCCTGAATTGTAAAATAGAAAAAAATATAATCTGGTAAAAATCTATATATTTATGCATACTGATAATTATATAAGGCTGTGAATACCAGCAAATTTGGTTAACCCCTTAACGCCGTTACGGCATTGTATGCCGTCCCGCATTTAAAGGGCTTTAAAGCCGTTGCGGCAGCATAGAATGCTGTAATGGCTGAAGCCCCCAGGACCTCGGTGGTACTCACCTCCACCGTGATTCTCTTCGGGAGGGCTTCCTGACAGCCCAGGCCTCCCTCCCCCTGCAAATGAGGCCCCCGGGGGCCATGTGATCGCTCTCAAAGAGCAATCACATGGCCCCCTATAGCTGGCTGTGGATCTGCCAGCGGGAGGACTGTCTGAAATATCAGACAGTCCCCCTGCTGGTGGGAAGTGTAGAAAAAAAATATTAAACATGTTAAAATAAATCATACGTAATGAATTTTAATATTAATATAAGTACGTATATGAGTATTAAAATACACCTAGAATGATGTTACATATATATAATATGTATATATATTATATATGTAGAAAGGCCATTAGGCCTGAATTTGTGGGAGGAGTAAGTCCCCTACTTAAGCTCCCAGCCCCTACTCACCGCTGCCGCTCAGCTGATTGTCCTTAGCAACCAGCACTTCCGGTCCAGCTTCCCGCCAGAACTGTACCTGTTTCCAGCAGCCAGACCCCCTGTGCAATCCTCCGTCCGTCCGAGGCCCTTCCACTCCGTTTCCCTCCGGTCGAGGTACCCGACTTCCGGTCACGAGACCGGCGCGTTCACGTAAGCAAGGCGTGGGAATTAGCGTTCGCTTTTTCCCCGCCGTTCGGGCCTAAAAACGTAGGGGTAGGCTCCCTCTTTCGCATTTTCACGAATACACGCTTTCGTTTATATCTCCATTCGCGCCAAAAAACGCACGAACGTTCGGCTCATTTCGCTATCGTTTTACGCTTTTTCGTACGGAAACAACCGAATAAATATTTCATGTTTAAACTCATTATTATCTGTATTCACTTTTCCGTTCGGTTGTTTCAGCATCAACCTATTCGTATGGTTAATTCACGTACACCATCTTACTAATTTACATTCGGTTATTTCTATTCTTTTAAGATAAGCTGGCATAAGTTCTAATCACAGTCCTACTATTATTTATTCCTTCATATGAGTTTGCGGTTACATTATATGGTTAACTACCAGCCCTGTGTTTTTCTACCTTGTTAAACCATTTAAAGTATTTTTCTGTTATAAACATTATGTTCACCACGGTTCATAACTTCATACGTGTCTAAATTCAAGCTATAACACTCTTTCCTAATAACACTCAGATAAGTCTTTTTAAACACTATTTACAAGTTATACCCTTTACACATAATCCGTACTATTCCTTGCACATAAATCACGCTGTCACATCTTTTGGCTTTTACAGATTGCATCGGTCTCTTGCTTTTCTGCATTAAAGTTGTTATTTCAAGGTCCTTTTATTACAGGAACAGGTATGGTTTTATCACCTTGAGTTATCAGGTTTTATCAATTATCTTCACATCTATTGCTAACTATGGTATTTTTCTTGGTTAAACCCTTAGATCCTTGTATTAATCTAAGCTTCCACCGTTTCTACGCAGTTAACCTGCCACGATTAAACAAGCTCTGTACTTTAAACAAAGGTATAGTTCACTCTCTTTTCAATACTAGACCTCACGCGGTCTCAACTCCATTACTACCTTCCCTCAGGCTTACGCCCAGGATACGTTATCTCTTTACTACTTGTCTACACAGACTTTCGGTCATACGGCCACCAGGCTCAAGAAGACACCAAATCCTGACACGGTACTCAGCCATACCTTCAGGTACTTACATCCTTACTCAAGTACGTCCATTCGCTACCCCAAGGCCTCATTCTGCCTTCTCACTCATATCCAAAATCATCCCATTCCTACACCTAAACCTCCCAGATCCCTCAATGCAGGATCTCACGTCGTGCCCCTAACAAACCTTCTCCCTATACTATTCATACAACATCACATTACGTATAAACACATCAACATCTGTCTTAAACCCCCAGGATTCTTCCTCAAAGACAACATTTAAGACAAGACTCTCTACACTTACCAGGAGGCTCCAGATACCATTTGCGACCAGTCAAGGTTAGTATCCACACACCATTCCAGTCCTCTAACTTTACCCTTTAGCATACTATCGAACTGGCTATACGGCACAGGCTAATGCCTTAGCCCACCCTATCAGGAAATCTGATCCCGCGAGGCCTACCACCCCCACCCCACCTCAACACGGAGGTACGGCCCCACGCCCAAATCATAGTTATAAGCCTTGCATGCCTTACTATAGGGCTCTAGTTAGGGCCTCACCTGTCACGGCCACACGTTTTGATTTCTCTTATCGTCACCGAGAGGCCAACATCCCGCCACCACGTCTGTGGCACCTACGTCATAAGCCAAATCATAGGTAGAGCCTCTCATCGCCACTTGGCATTAGCAGGGCCTCACCTATCCAGTCATTCAATAGTTAAGTTTTTCGCCTCGGCATCTAGCATTAAAGTCCAGTTCTTCAAGACACACCACTCCCCATACCCCCCCTTCTTACCTCACTCCCCTTCTAATATATCTTTCACATAATCATTCCTTTTTAGAATGTCCCAAGAACCAATTCCAACCGAAGAACTGACAGAAGAAGCACCATTCACGCCAATCAGACCCGTGTCTCCAGGCGAATCACTCACTCTTTCAACCCCCACGTCCTTGAGAGCATGGACTATTCCCAAAATCACAGCCGAGCTTAGGCTCAGGGGAATCCCCTTTCCGGCCACAGCTAGAAAGGCAGAACTTTACAGGCTGCTTACCCACCAAGTCCCCGAGCCTCGGCCGGGAACTAGCTCTCAAGGACAACCACCAAGTAACAGCACGGCCACCCAGGATACCCTGGCAGATATCTTGGCCAATCTACAGGCCCTCAATAGCAGGCTGTCTAAGGTGGAGAGCGCCATCTCCTCCTCAGGTACTAACACCGTAGTCCCAGTCTCTACCACGGCTGTACCTGCCATACCTTCATGTCCCTCTATACTCCCCCTCCAGCACCTGGCACAGCCTTTCGAGTCACCAGCACACTCCGTCCCAGATTCTATCAGGAAAGATATCCTTGACGGGAAGGATGTGTGTCTGGTGTCTTTACTCATAGCCTCTCATGATGTACTCGAGAACAAGGCATACAATTATGGCGACATCTCTGTTGTGCTTAAAACGAGGGATCCCAGGCTTAATAAAAAATTGTCTATCCCACAGTTTGTGATAGCTTTCGGGATATACCGCGACGTCATTTGCACGGTGTATCCCCATAGGAGAGAAGAGCTAGATCTCTATCTCCACAAGGTAGTGGATCTAGGCATCAAGTACGGGGGCTCTTCCTTCTATGACTACCACAAGTCAGTCTCAGCGAAGGCGGCGACCCATCTCAAGCAGTTCAACATTAGAATGAACTGGGGTCAGATGGACACTGAACTTTTCTGTCGCCACTTCGCCGGACTCAGGCCCCCGGCTTGTGCCATCTGTAATTCCACATCCCACATGGCGGACTTATGTCCCGTCGAACCAGATCCCACCACCTCCACTCTCACCCCTCACCCCACGTTCACACCTCACTCCTCTTTCACCCCTCACAAGCCAGCGGGTGGTCTCCGGGATAAGCTGGGTAGGCCCATCTCCTTTTTAGGTAAAGCACAGGTGTGCAATAATTTCAACGCAGGCTCCTGCAGTTTCAGCGCCTGTAGACTATTGCACATCTGCTCCATATGTTTCAGGGCACATACCAAGACCATGTGTCCAGCCAGGTTGTCACCAAACAAATGACTAACCGACATAAATATCGACAACCTGGTTTTTTATCTAAGGTGTCACCCCAGCAGGCACTTAGTGGATTTTCTCACCACAGGTTTTTCACAAGGGTTTCACACAGGCATAATAGCCATTACCCCAGGTACACTAGAATGTCCTAATCTCCAGTCTGCACGTTTAGACCCAGTCGCTGTAGACACTCTCATTTCCGCAGAAACCACAAACGGTTTCATGATCGGTCCTTTCACCTCTTCACCGTTTTCCTCCTGGCGCACTAACCCTATTGGTATTGCTATTCACAAATATTCTAATAAAAAACGTCTCATTATCGATTTATCGGCACCGCACTCCTCTTCTGTTCCAAGCATAAACGCACTCATTCCAGCAGACGAATTCTCTCTGCAGTACGTCACCATCGACGACGCTATACAGTCTATCATGACATCTGGTAATCGACCCTGGCTCAGCAAAACAGACATCACTAACGCCTTTAAATTACTGCCCATACACCCCTCACTCTGGCACTTACACGGTGTTAAATGGCGAGGGTATTATTACTTCTCAACACGACTCACTTTTGGTTCCCGAAGCAGCCCCAAACTTTTCGACATTTTCGCTGAGTCACTATGCTGGCTGCTTCTGAATGTCATCAGGTGTCACTCCGTTATTCACTATCTAGATGACTTTCTACTGATAGAGCCAGGGTCATCAACACCCACAGCAATCAATAGTACTACCGCACTTTTTTCCACACTTGGAGTCCCTTTGTCCCCAGCCAAAACTATAGGACCCACTACAAAGTTGACATTTTTAGGCATAGAGCTCGATTCTGTCAAACTCAGAGCTAGCCTTCCACACGACAAACTTTCACGATTGAGAGGGGAGATAGACACGTTCCTGCGGAATGACGTTTGCACCAGGAGAGAACTTCAGTCCCTTCTTGGATCTCTGAACTTCGCCATGCGCATCATTCCGCAGGGAAGGTCTTTTATTTCCAGACTTCTTTGCCTGCTCCATGGAGTCCCGGACTCCGGCACAGTTTCTTTGGACCCCCACGCCAAGGCTGACTTAGCTATGTGGGGGAAGTTTTTGAAAGACTGGAATGGTATCTCCATGTTTATCCCCCTCTCTCCACCTCTTCACCCATCATCCACACAGACGCAGCAGCCAACACCGGTTTCGCAGCCATTTTCGGGAACCACTGGTTTAGGGGCCACTGGCCCACTGAGACGGATGCCTTGCCAGGATTCAGGGAGACCTCAACCCTATTTGAAATTTACCCCATTGTGGCGGCCGCACACACCTGGGGTCATCTCTGGTCCGGCAAGGCAGTAAAATGCTACTCAGATAACTCGGCAGCTTGCGATATTATTAACAAAGGGCGCTCATCATCCCTGACCATCATGCGGCTGATTCGCAAGTTGACCTGGCTGGCAGCATCCAATCAGTTTCACTTAGTATGTTCTCACATCCCGGGTATTCACAACACCGCCGCTGACGCTCTTTCTCGTTCTCGATTCCAGGCATTTTCTCAGGCACTCCCAGCAGCTCACCATCAGCCATCCAGGACACCACGGTTTCACGAACTAATATTGGATTAAGCACACTCTTGCTTCACGCTAGATCACTCACTCACCAAGCATTATCACCCAACACTGCTATCACTTACAATAGGGCACTTAACATATTTAATAAATTCACTGCAGAATTCGGGCTACAAGGTGACTTTTCCATCCAAACCATGGTGTCTTTTGCCTCTTTCTGCCACCTACACCTTAATCTGTCACACAACACCATTAAACTTTACCTCACCGGGGTTCAGCACCACAGCCTCACCAATTTTCCTAACAGCACCCCCTTTTTGTCTGCATACCCCATAAAAAAGGTCTTGAAAGGTATATCTAAGCTTTCACCACCACTCGCAAGCACTAGATTACCCATAGACGGGCCTATCTTCAGGTCTCTTAGCAATCTCCTTGACACAGCCCCATTTGATAGCTACACCAATACGGTGATAAAATCTGCCATATATCTCGCTTTCTACGGTTTTCTCAGACCTAGAGAGTTCACAGTGATTTGTCAAGGAGATATCGCACTATGCCTTAAAACTTCACACCTCACCAAGGTAGAGGATCACTACCTCCTCTCTATCCCTACCACTAAAACCAACCGGTCAATACATCCTACTATAATTCCTCTCTTCCCTACTGATAATGCCTGGTGTCCGGTGAAAGTTCTCGACCAACTACGGTCTACTTTTCGTACTCACCTGCCAGACTCTCCGCTCTTAACATTACAAGGGCACCCGCTTACCACGGCAAAATTGATGTCACATGTCAGAACCCTGTTATCTAAGCTCGGACACAATCCGGCTGCATTCTCCGGGCACTCCTTCCGCATAGGAGTCGCCTCAGCAGCCTCAAGCACAAACGCACCGGTCCACATCATCAAAAGGCTCGGGCGATGGAAATCCTCCATATATAACGCATATATTCCGCAACCAGAGAAAGAGCTTCGCCAAGCTTTCAGAAACTTGGTCTTGTAAAATGCAATAAAGTGTGTATTTTCTCAAATTTATCTTTTTGCCCTCTTTTTATTTACAGGCCCACTCGTACGTTGGTTTCGGCACACCACAACCAACTTTGCTCACAGTTACTATCCATCACGTATTTAAATTCCGAGCACAAGTAGAAAGGCCATTAGGCCTGAATTTGTGGGAGGAGTAAGTCCCCTACTTAAACTCCCAGCCCCTACTCACCTCTGCCGTTCAAGTTGATTGTCCCCACCCACCTTCACCCTTATAGCATTACAATTCTCCTTGGTGGGCCCTCTTTTATTTACAGGCCCACTCGTACGTTGGTTTCGGCACACCACAACCAACGTTCATCTTAGACACTATCCATTATGTATTAAATTCCGAGCACAAATATATTTATAATTTTATATATATATATATATATATATATATATATATATATATATATATATATATATATATATATATATATATATAATAGATATATACACATATATTATATATATATATATATATATATATATATATATATATACGTATAAGTACAATAATAAATAAATAAAATTATTAAATAAATAAAATATTGAAACAAAATTTAATATAAATTATATATTCATATGTAAGTTCATTCTAACAGTATTTTGTTATTAATATATATCTCTCTATATATATATCTATATATAAAATACAAATAACCGCAAATATATATATATATATAGATAAATACATATAATTACATAAAAGATTACATTAGTATACACGTAGAATTTAAATACCTATAAATGCATATATATTAAATTTTTACATGTATATTTAAGTAATCTTTTAACATAATTATGTGATTTGATTAATTAAAATTCGATTGACATGCCTGACAACACTGGGAGAAAGTGCAGAAAATTTAATTCGCAAGCACTATATTTGACCCTGTAACTCTTCCGAGACACCATAAAACCTATACATAGGGGGTACTGTTTTTTTCTGGAGACTTCGCTGAACTCAAATATTAGTGTTTCAAAATTATAAATTGTATTACAATGATGATATTTCAAGTAAAAGTGATGTTTTTTCCATTTTTTTACAAACGAACGGCACTTTTATGGACTATGTTATTGTTGTAATATGTTTTACTGTCTTCACTAATATTTGTGTTTAGTGAAGTCTCCCGAGAATAACAGTACCCCCCATGTACAGGTTTTATGGTGTTTTGGAAAGTTAGAGAGTCACATATAAGGCTTGCATTTCATTTTTTTGACATTGAAATTTGCCAGATTGGTTATGTTGCCTTTGAGAGCGTATGGTAGCCCAGGAATAAGAATTACCCCCATGATGGCATACCATTTGCAAAAGTAGACAACCCAAGGTATTGCAAGTGGGGTATGTCCAGTCTTTCTGAGTAGCCACTTAGTCACAAACACTGGCCAAATATTAGTTTTTTGCTTTTTTCACACAAAAACAAATATGAACGCTAACTTTGGTCAGTGTTTGTGACTAAGTGGCTACTAAAAAAGACTAAACATACCCCACTTTCAATACCTTGGCTTGTCTACTTTTTCAAATGGTATGCCATTATGGGGGTAATTCTCATTCCTGGGCTACCACACCGTCTCAAAGGTAACATTACTAATCTGGCAAATTTCAATTTGAAAATGGAATGTTCTATATTTGACCCTGTAACTTTCCAAAACACCATAAAACCTGTTAATGGGGGGGGTACTGTTGTACTCGTGAGACATCGCTGATTACAAATACGTGCATTTTTTTTTGTAGTAAAACCTAACAGTATTATGACATTAACAGATAAAATGTCATACGGAAATACAAATTAAAAAAAAAATCTTATTTTCTCACTTTTTTTAAATTTTATTCATGATAAATTATGTTCCATATATGAATAGTTAATGATAAATTAAAGCACTGTTTCTCCTGAACAAAATGATATATAATAAGTGTGGGTGCACTTAATGTGACAGCCGTGAATTACGGTTGGACAGACATATAGCGCAAATTCCAGTTTTTGTTTACGTTTCGTTTTGATCAGAACGTGCACTATTGACTCTGTCCTGAAGGGTTTAATTTACAGAACTTTAGAGAGAGTAATAATAAAAGTCAAAATAAAACAAAAATCAAACTGGCTAATCAATAAATGCTTTTTGAGTGTTGTTTCTAAATCTGAGTTTTCAGTTTGTCTACTGTTGGATCCGTTTGCAAATTTAATTGATTTGTGAATTGCAGCAAATTAGCTATGTATCAACAGTCTGTTTTGAACAAACTCCCCAAAGTGTTAAAAAAAAAGGTATTCAGAAATGGGAGCGTTAGTAAATTTTGCTTACTTAATTAATGAATTTATTTATTTGTCTTTTTAAGTGAACGGAAAATGAGTACATGTGAATGCTATATACCCACACTGAAGTGGGTAATATAATTAATTTCACATTGATTTTTATAATAGATAAACTGCACTCTGACACTGTAATTTGTGGAAAACACTGTGGATTAGGGGAACTACCTGATAGGAAGGAAGGGAAAGAGGAGTAGAGGACCTATAGACTTAGTTTGCGTTTAATAAGGGGATGCAGGAGAGCCAAGTCTTGAATCTTATGTTCTGTGTTTTAATACTTTATTATATATTATATTTTGATGTATTTTTGTTTATTTGTATTCTTCCCATTGGTAGATTGCTCAAAAACAGTATCTTGGCCCCCTTGCCACCCTAAATATAGTAAAATCGTATCTTTATTCCATTCTGCTGGTGCTGGCTTTGCCCCTGATCTGCCTACTTGGCTGTCATCATCTGAAGTGATGATCTCAGCCAATAACAATGTTTTTTTCCATAGGAAAGCATTGGACTGGCTGAGATTGTCACTTGTTATGATCTCAGCCAAGGAGGCAGACCAGGGGTAGAGCCAGACACCAGCATCTCCAAGAGGAAAGTGTCTCCATGCAGAGGGTGGAAACACTAAATGTATTGCACCAGTAAGCAACTGTAGTAGCCATTTATGGAGTGGACACATAAGGTTTTCCTAGGCCAGAACAACTAACAATTAAGTTGTAGTTGTTCTGGTGACTATAATGTCCCTTTAAGCTATGCATTTCATGATGATTTCACTTGCCATATGTTTAGAATAAATTTTAAATATATAACTGAAAATTACCTTTTATAATCAATATATTTTGTATAAGTCAAGTTCCCATTTAAATTGTACAATTCGCTGTGGTTACCTCTCGTTGTTTGACAAGATATGCATCAATGAGATTTCTTTGGTCGTTTATGTCCAGCTGGTCCTTCTGTTTTGTAAACGTCTCTTTAATAAATGTCTTTAACTTCTGGACATTTTCAAAAATGACATTGTGACTTCCTGGTAACCAGCGAACCAAAGATGGAAAAATGTTGTACAGCTAAATAAAAATGGAAAAATGGTTGAAATGCCTGATCCTCTTAGGACAAAATCAGAGAAACCTATTATTTTGAGTCTTTCACAAGCTGATGTAGGAACATTATTGCAGATTTGATTTGTATTGTGCATTTGGATTGCAAAATGTGGAATTTCATTTGTCACATTTTGACTTTTTTTGGTGAAAAAGTTATTTCCACGTCCACCTCAGTGAGTAAATTGAGAGGTCAACATTCTCAACACAAAAAAATGGGGGCTTCTTATCATTGCAAGCCTTTTCAAAGGACAATGTGATGTAGCATATTAACATCTTCCCTCCAACCATGACCCTGATTTCAGATTTTTTCTAAGGATTTACTATATTTGGATACATTTTAAAATAATGATTTAAAAATATATAAAATATTAAATTATTTTTTATTAAAAAAAACATCAATATATATATATAAAAAATATCAAAGTATTAAAATATTTTTCAAAAGATTAAATCATTTAAAAAAGTTACACAAAAAAATCATTTGAAAAACTTATTCAAAATAGGTAAAAAAGGGATCCAAACTTTTCAACCTAGAAGTAGGTCTTTCTCAAGTTGTAACTTGAGCAAAATTCAGCATGTTGATACAAAATTGTACTGCGATAGGTAAGTGATGATAATTTTTGTGCTTGTAGACAGCCAGCTTGCTGGTCAATTTGTCATGTTGGTGATACCATGCACTCTTTAGAGTTAAACACATCACCAGTGACAATGCATAATATGACGCACATCTTTTTTAATTAAGATTTTGAATGTGCCATTTGGAGTCTACTGAAGTCACTCTCTCATTCAAGGGTCGCATCACCAAGTGGGACTACTACTCTCAGGCACAAAGGATCCTGGGATTTAAACTCCTTTGTTATTGTATTGGAGACCCCATGTTGGGGTCTGTGCATAAAAGCCTTGTGTGGTTGGAAATAAATCAGTTGATTCCCAGAACTATGTTTCATCTGGTTACTGGGGGAATGGATGTCTGCTAGAATGGTTCCAGATTGGTTAAGTAATGGAATTATCAGAGTTAACCAGCCAAGAGGGTTGCCAAACTGAATCTCTCCCCCAAGACAGCATAACAACAGATATAAGAAAGATAATGCTAGAAAAGATAGCAGTCCATGACCACCAGACAACATTATCAAAAATCCCTGGTAAACTGTTAGCTGTGGTTAATTAGGCACTGTCCACAATCCCAACTAGCACCATCACAACAGGTTGGGATAGAGTGGTTCTCCAAATACTTGATTACAAGATCATACTGAAAGAGAAACAAGACATCTATGTATTTGTGTGTATATATATATATATACCTTTTTGTCCTGATAGGAACTTTCTTAAGGATGACTGAAGAGCTCTACTCTAATCCAACAGTGAACAATTAAAGCTTAATAAACGTTAATGGTAAAATTAAGTTCTTACCAAAACCATAGGACTTCCCGAAACTCTAAGATTTGAGTTAATTATGCCGAGAAGCTTCAAAAATGTTGGATCATTGTAATCAAAACGATGGCCAAATAGTAAAGATGCAATTACATTGGATACAGCTCCATTTATTATGAATGTGTTCTCAAACGGCTTTCCTGTAATAATAAGAAAAAACATAACTATACAAATATACATATGTCTAAATGCTCTCCTTCTGAAAGTCTGAACACTCATCGACACTCATACTTGTGATGTCACGAGTATATGCACATGTTGTCACTAGCATCTATATTGAAGAGTAATATTTGGCTGACAGTTCTTCAGATATTTTCACGATGAGGAACTAAGAGGAAAAATCTATTGACTTTTAAGCAAGTATCCTCTTGGTGTAAGTAATCACTAACCTTTGTATGATATAAACACTTCCACCAATGAATCACATTCCTCATTAATCAGATTTTCTATTACTTTTTTTCCCATTCCAAAATCTCGTAGTGTAGCAAGAGAGAATCTTCTCATCACTTTCCAGTTTTCACCATCAGAAAAAACAACACCTAAATTAAGTAGGTGAAATATGCTAAAATGTCACTATAACAATAATATTAACCAATCTAAAATATTTCATAAACTTACAGTTTCTTTAAACAACAACTATTTCTAAACATCTATGGAATTTTAGGAAGTCTACGTGACAAGATTTGAATATACTTTCTTATTTTTAGTAATGGAGCAAATTTATAATACTCTTTCACAACAATGGGATTTACTCACAATCAAGTAAGTTATTGTGAGATGTTGACAAAAATATTGAAATCTATCATCTTCTGTTCATAATGTAAGTGTGCAAAAATGTGGTAAAGAAATTGCACCCCCCACCCAACTACATGTACATGACAAAGAGATTAACAGTGAAAATGTCCTGCATGTGAATCTTACTTATTATTTAAACATAACTCAAACTTTCCTGACAAATCATGGCAGCACACTTATGGTTAACCCCGCCTCAGTCAGATCAGGACAGGAATTAACCAATTCAATCAAAGACTGAATTTATAAAGGGTCCCTCCTTCCTTCACACACCAGTATTTTTACCTGTCCTCATCCGGACAGGCAGGAATTACTTCCTACAAATTTTATTTTTTGGCCACCTTCCTATATGCACCATAGGTCTCCCAGACACTGTTCAGCCTCCCTGTTTCTGAAGGACCCAGTAAACAGTCTGCTATATCAGGACTAACTGGGTCAGATTCAAAATTTAGCATATTTCGAGTTCTAATAATTTTGCATTTATTCTGAAGACTGGCATGGCCCAGCTATCAACCCGATAAAGCAGTTGGAATTGCCTCTAATAAACTATCAATAACATTTCATGTGCATCCCATCTCCTAATATCCAGAATTTTCAAAGCTACATTGAGGATTTGTCCTCCATCAAGAAATACTTCTCCACCATGGAACCTCCCTCTGGTGTTAGATGCCTTAACTGAATCTCTGTTCGCTCCTATGGCGGAAATATCTATTAAATATCTTATCTATAAGGTGGTGTTCCTGGTAGCCATCATCACGGCTAAAAGAATCTCAGAACTCCAAGATTTTTCCAATGAAACTTCTCACACTCTCATTTTTCATGACAGAATAGTTCTAAAACTAAAAGAAGATTTTCTTCCGAAAGTTGTTTCTAATTTTCACCTTCATCAGGAAGCACTACTTCCATCCTTCTATCCATCTCCATCTTCTCCAGAAGAAATCAAATTACATGAATTGGATTTTAGCGATTGCATCATTAATTACCTCTCAATTACTTCAGTATTCAGGAAATCTAACCGACTATTCGTCCTCCTCTCAGGTGCTCGTGAAAGAGAGACTGCTTCTTCTTCCAATTTAAGATGCTGGATTGCGGCAGTCATTTCTGATGCATATAGAACATCCAAGCTGCTGTATAAGATAAAAGCTTATTCAACCAGATCCTAAGCAACTTCTTGGGCTAACTTGCAGATTATATCTTCAGGGCAGAACATGGTCATCCCCTAGGACTTTTATCAACCATTACAAGTTTGAACAAGTAGTTCTACTTCATTTAGGAAAGGAGTCATTTCCTCTGTTCTTCAGCACAATAAAGTTTGAATTTCTTTGCATCATTTTATGTGTTCTTCTAAGTTTATTCTCACTCCCCCCATTTATTGGAGCTTTGGTGTTACCAATATGTGATGCTGCCATAATAAGAAAAATTAAAATCCTACCTATCTGGTAATTTTCTTTCCTTGATTATTTATCATGGCAGCATCAATCTCCCTCCCCTTATTTTATCTTAGTTTGCAAACTCGACTGGTGTGTGAAGGGAGGAGGGACCCTTTATAAATTCAGTCTCTGAATTATTCAATTACTGTCCTGATCTGACTGAGGTGGAGCTAACCCATAAGTGAAGCTGCCATGATAAATAGCTTGGAAAAGAAAATAACCAGGTAAGTATGATTTTAATTTTCCTTATTTTATATGATCAAATGTTTCACTCTTTCCTACAACACAGCCTGAGCAGAGACCACCTTAACCAGTAACAGTAAAATGAAAATGAGCCTCCATGCAAGGAAGTCAACTTATTGTTTGGACTAGAAATACATTCATTTCAACATGTATCCAGAACAAGATCATGACAACGCATCAGTTATTAACTATAGTGAGCCATGGAAAAGTATATTGAACTGGCAAAATGTAAACTGTAAGCCAGAGCTTAAAGAATTGGTTGTCTTTTGCAGGTCACTTTGTAGTTCCCCTGAATTAAACTTGGATTATTTACTAAATCAGTGACTGTCATAAATAGAAAAGTAAATTACAAATGTTGAAATATTTTTTTACCTCTAAGTGATAATAAACATACCATATCCTTTTAATGTATCATGGAAGATGGGTATGACAGGTCTCCCAGAAAACACATCTGCGTGGTTGACAAGAGCATCTTTCACTGTATCGTAGCCACACAGTACAACCACTTTCTTCATTCCCATGTGAAAACTGAATACAGAACCATACTCCTCAGTTAACTGCAAAGAACAACATGGCATGATAATGGATTATAACATTTTAGCAATTTTAATACATCTGTAGCCCCTACTTTAATACTCTAATCCAAGCCTGGTAGTGTGTCGTTAACAGATATGACGAGACATAGATAGCATATCTGGTGTACAAATGGAAACCCAGTTTGTAAACCAATCTTCAGAAATAGAGGGGTGGAAAGAAAGGAAACAATCTGCGTAAAGTGTCAAAGTGTGCTAGGCTTCACTCCACTATTTGTACATTTGTGATTGTGCTCCCCTATATTTGCATGCCATTTTTTAAACATTTCATTTTTATACTATTTGCACTCTCTTGCCGTATTCTAAAGTGTTAATTTCTTTACCCTCTTATTTCTTGAGATGGTTTAATAATGATTAGACCCTGGGCAAGCATTTGCCAGGGCCCCCATAGACTGTGCCCCCCCACTCCTTTAAATGCAATCACACCCTCCACTTCAACACAGTGGCGGAACTAAAGTATAAAGATCCGTGGTGCAATAATTTTATTTGCCCCCCCCTAATTGCAAGGATGGACAAAAGGTAGAACCCTATCTGTCATGCAACTCCAACAATGCATTGACAGATGGGGTTCAACTAATTTCCCATGCTTGCAGGGTTGTATTTTGCACTGTTTGAATGTAAGCATGTTTTTGTTTGAAGTATGTTTGTATGAATGTGTTTGTATGTGGTGTTGGAGTTTGGATGCAAGCTTGCATTTATGTGTAGTGTTTTTTTGAATGTGTGTTTATATATAATTTTGGTGCTCAGACACACTGACACATTCAAATACACAGATGCACACACTGACTGCTTACAGATACACAAACACAAACAGATACACTGAGTGACATACTGACACACACAAATACATACATTGACATGCATACTGACACATACACATACACTGACCAGCAGGCATACTTACACACACACATACACTGACCGACAGAGGTACTGACACACACAGATGCACACACACTGACTACATACAGATACACTGATATCTTACAGATACACAGACACAAACTAAGTGACATATTGACACACACAAATACATACACTGAGAGACATACTGATGCACACGGATACATACACTGACAAACACAGACAAGACACATACACTGATAGACAGAGATACTGACACCCACATGCACACACACTGACACACACACATACATACTGACACGCACAGACATACATACATACTGACACACACACAGGGCCGGCCTTAGGGGTGTGCGAGCTGTGCGACCGCACAGGGCGCCATGGAACAGGGGGCGCCCTGTGGCCGACACAGCTCACTCATGGCCGGAGTGCAGGGGAGCTAAAAGAGGTACCTGGCTGGAGGATTAATTATTCTCCACCCGGGTCTATTTAAAAAAAAAAAAAAAAATCGCGGCAGAGGGGGCGGGGTTTACCGAGCGGCGGAGGCGGGGCTTATCGAGAGGCGGAGACGGGGCTAATACCTCCCGAAGCCCCTGCTGTACAGGAAGAGGGAAAGATGCTTCCCCATCAGCCAACTGCATCCACTGGAAAGAGGTAAGTGTGTGTGTGTGACTGTTTGCCTGTTTGTGTGACTGTCTCTGTGTGTTACTGCCTGCCTGTGTGTGACTGTCTGTGTGTGTGACTGTCTGTTTGTGTGTGTGACTGTCTGTCTGTGTGTGTGACTGCCTGTGTGTGTGACTGCCTGTATGTGACTGCCTGCCTGTGTGTGTCTGTCTGTAACTATCTGTCTGTGTGTGACTGCCTGCCTGTGTGTGTGACTTTCCATCTGTGTGACTGCCTGCCTGTGTGTGTATAACTGTCTATGTGTGTGTTACTGTGTGTCTGTCTGTGTGTGTGACTGCCTATGTGACTGTCTGTCTGTGTGTGTCGCTGTAGCTGTGCCATTGTTTGTGCCTGTGCCTGTATGTGTGACTGCCTTTAACTGAGTGTGTGTGTACATGCCTGTAACCGAGTTTAAATTTCCCCCACCCCTTCCTGTCAAGGCCGCACTTTGACTGACAGACGCTCACTCACTGACAGACGCACACTCACTGACAGACACACACTCTCATATACACTGACAAACAATGACATACACACATACACTATTACTTGGACACACACTGACAGATGCACACTCTCACTGACAGACGCAAGCACTCACTGAAAGATGCACGACTCCACTGACCGACACATACACACTGACTGACACACACTCACTGACCGACACACACTCACTGACCGACACATACACACTCACTGACTTACACACTCACTGACCGACACACACTCACTGACGACACATACACACTCACTGACGACACATACACACTCACTGACGACACATACACACTCACTGACTGACACATACACACTCACTGACTGACACATATACACTCACTGACCAACACACACATTCACTCACAGACACACACACATTCACTTACAGACACACACAATTACACACTTACAGACACACACACACACACACACACACATTCACTTCAAAATAAACACTCACAGACACACACACAGACATTTCCACTAACACTCACAAACTAATATTTTTTACATTTATTTTAAATCCACCCAGCCTCCCTGGGAAAGCTGGAGTGGATTTCTTACCAGCAGTCCAGTGTGGCTGCTGGGCAGGCAGGCAGGGGGCGCACAGGCTGAGTAAGCAGCGCTTAGTGATGCCGGGAGCCGGACTGACGTCATATTCTGGCTCCCGGCTTCATTAAGCGGCGCAGAGGAAGCTGAGCAGGAAGAGCTCAGGTGAGTATGCTCCTTCGCTGCCCGCTGCCAGCCTTGGGGGGGCTCAAAAGTGGCCAGCCGGTCAGCTCTTGAGCCCCCCAGGATGCGAGGCAAGCAAGGGATCTGCCTGGGGGTTTGGAGGGATGCTTTTTTTTGCCGCCCCCTGCAAAGTGGCGCCCAAGGCAGATGCCTTGTTTGCCTCGTGATACACACGTCCCCGGTGCCTGTGTGTGTTACTGTATTCAGGCAACTTGGTGGGAGGTGGGGGGGGCGCCGTGAAGACTTTTTGCACAGGGCGCCTAATTGCCTAAGGCCGGCCCTGCACACACACACACACACATACATACTGACAAACATGTAAATACATTTTTAAACCCACCCTCCAGTTTCCTACCTTTCTGGTGGGTGGCTTCCCTGGGGTCCAGTTTGCTGCCTGAGGCTGGTGGGAGTGAGGTGCCCCCATCCTCACTGCCTTTCTCACTCCTGCTCTGCTCCTCCTGATCCCTCCCACACAGCTGCTCTTTTTATAGGAGGAAGTGACTCGCGGCAGTCACTTCCTCGCATGTTGCCAACAAGCAAGGGTCCGGTTGTGCTGTTTAAGGGCCACAGCACCCAACCGGGCCCCTGCTTATAGAAGCCTTTCTCACATACACTGACCGACAGAGTGCTGGCCTTAAAGTGCTGGGTCCAAATAAATTGTTGAGGGCAGTGGGGCCCACAGGGCAGCTCCCTTGGGTCTCCCAGGAGTAACTGGGCCCGGGGCAGCTGCCTCGTTTGCCCCGCATTAAAGACGACCCTGGGTTTACTTGTATTTGTATAGCCATAGTTCAGAATGAGCCTCCCCATTTACTCAATGGACAATAGTAGGAGTTATTTTATTTATTTTTTTATTCAACAGCCATCTATAGTTTGGCTTCATCTGCTTTCCTGATTTTTGTTTAGATTCTCTGGTGTATATACAATGCAGATATAACCAAGATTTGCAGTAGAAAAACATTATTAACATATATGAGATGATGCAACTCTTTAACTGTTATTTGAAACGAGTATTAATTAAAATTAGGATGTAGACAAACTCTGGTGATACCACTTCCCCATACACAGCAGTTATGTCTTTAAGTAGAAATGACCAGGTGACCCTAAGCTTACAAGGGGAAGTAAAACCTGATAATATTAGCAGAATCCAACTCACAACATCAATGATGCACAGGACCTCTTATTCAAGATACTTTCTTTTCAGAAAACACAACTTTGGAATATGCAAAAATCACCAGAAATACAATGTACAAACGAGCGTCTGACACAAACGTATCCAGAATTTGGAGTCCTGTCTCTTATTGGGGGAATCTGCTCTGCATTGGTGGAATATGCTCTGCATATTCCCTTGCTATAATCACTCCTAAGCTCTTTTTTTAGAGCTCGTTCCTGCTTTGCTCTGAGGGAAGAGAGGTTTGGCCTGCGGTGCTTGTGGTGTAGGCTAGAGTGCTTGGAATCCTCAAGAAGCGCTAGGAGCATCCATCAATGGAGGTACCCAGTCGGGGTGCCAGGTGATCTGTTACAGTGTTCATTTGCCATGATTTCTATCATATTAGACTTAAGATTTAAGTACGTTTCACTTCTGCCTAAATGTAAATACAGTCTGCTAATTTACCCAATGCTGCTAGAAGAAATAATACCTTTTGAAATGTTTTAAATGGTTTTCTTTTATCCAAAATGTGCAAATTTCCAATTATTGGCAAAGGTTTTGGTCCTGGAGGAAAATTTTTGTACTTATTTCCTTTCCCGTCATAAAAAGTATTTAGCAAAAATAGACAGACAATTATTGCTAGAAGCACTGAGACTGGATCAATAGCAAACATGTCTTCACAGAAATCTAAAGTGAGAAAATAATAAGTTATGTAATACATACTAATGATTCAGCTTTATAATCTATATGCAAAATATTATAATTTACAAACAAATATTTGCAGGTTTAACCCCTTAAGACCGGAGGGCGTTCAATTACGCCCTATTTTAGGCGGCTCTAAACACCTCCGGGCGTAATTGTACGCCCTCCGGTCTTTCATTACTTACCCGGAGCCCCCCGCAGCAGATCCTCCTCCTCCGGTGCCCCCCGGCCATTTGAGAGTGAGGTCCTTGCGAGGACCTCACAATCACATGGCCGGGTAGGCTGCCTCCTGCATTGCCAGCAGGGGGGCTGCCTGTAATGACAGGTGGTCCCCCTGCTGGCTGAAAATAAAAATAAAATTAAAAGTGTAAAAAAAAAAAAAAAAGTATTCTTAGAAGACATTTATATTATATATATATATATATATATATATATATATATATATATGATCTAAGTATATATATATACACATATACATACACACACACACACACACACACTGTCTAGGTGTATTTTACTATTAATATATATATATAATTATATATATATAAAACAAGAGTTGGCTGCACTCACCTTACCATGCATAAATGGGGTGCTGCTGGGGCCAAATAATACAATACACAAGATCCAGCGCACTCACCTATCCACTAAACAGCAACTTCAATGTTGAAAGATTTTATTTGTTTTTTTTAAAACACCTAATCTAGGCAAAAATAATGGGGGTTTAGTTACATTATATGATCATACATTGCATAAGCCTGCCACAATGTATGATCATATAATTATATATATATATATATATATATATATATATATATATATTAATATCAAATTACACGTAGACTGATACTGATTAAATATATATATAATTGTTGTATTTTTAACGTATTTACATATTTAATTTTTTTATATTACATATATATATACCTATATTTAAAAAAATATATATATATATATACACATATAGATTCACATACGTATATATATATACATATATTAATTCTACATATATATTTATGTAATATTTTTACATAATTAGGTATCTTAATTAATTACAATTAGCGGGACCTGCCTGACAACCCATGCCGAAAGTAAAGGGAATTTAATTTGCTAGCACTATATTTAACCCTATAACTTTCCAAGACCCCATAAAACCTGTACATGGGGGGTACTGTTCTACTCAGGAGACTTTGCTGAACACAAATATTAGTGTTTCAAAACAGTAACGTGTATTACAACCATGATATCGCCAGTAAAAGTGAAGTTTTTTGCCATTTTCATACACAAACAGCACTTACACGGACGATATTATTGCTGTGATACTTTTTACTGTTTTGAAACACAAATATTTGTGTTCAGCGAAGTCTCCCGAGTACAACAGTACCCCTCATGTACAGGTTTTATGGTGTTTTCAAAAGTTACAGCGTCAAATATAAGGCTTGCGTTTCATTTTTTTCACATTAAAATTCGCCAGATTGGTTACGGTGCCTTTGAGACACTATGGTAGCCCAAGAATGAAAATTACCCCTATGATGGCATACCATTTGCAATAGTAGACAACCCAAGGTATTGCAAACGGGGTATGTCCAGTCTTTTTTAGTAGCCACTTAGTCACAAACACTGGCCAAAATTGGCGTTTTTTGCATTTTTCACACAAACAAATACTAATGCTAACTTTGGCCAGTGTTTGTGGCCAAATGGCTACTAAAAAAGACTGGACATACCCCATTTGCAATACCTTGGGTTGTCTACTATTGCAAATGGTATGCCATTATGGGTGTACATTTCATTCCTGGGCTACTATAAAGTCCCAAAGGCAACGTAACCAATCTGGCGAATTTCAATTTCAAATGTAACGTGCTATATTTGACCCTGTAACTTCCCAAAACGCCATAAAACCTGTACATAGGGGGTACTGTTTTACACGTTAGACTTTGCTTAATACAAATATGTGTATTTTATTGCAGTAAAAGCAAACAGTATTACGACATTGACCGTTAAAATGTCATGTAGAACTAAAAAAATCTAAAAAAATCTTATTTTCTCCCATTTTTTTCATATTAAATTATGTTTCATAGTTAAATATTTGATATTAAATGAAAGCCCTGTTTCCCCTGAATAAAATGATATATAATAAGGGTGGGTGCATTTAATATGAAAGAGGTGAATTATGGTTGGACAGACATGTAGCCCAAATGCCAGGTTTTGTTTACATTTTGTTTCGTCCTTAAGGGGTTAACATTTGCCTTGACTGCTCCCAAAATTCAAACAACAGATTATGCAAAAACAGTTAACGTGAATATATATGTGTATATATAATTTTGTACTTTTTAAATTTATTTATGATCAATTGCTGTCAGGTAGAAAAAAATAAAATGTCTAGTAAATTGAAACATTAAAAAGCCCCAACTGTGCTTGAGTCCTGAATCTGCTGAGTTGGGTCCAACATCAACAATATTAACATCAGGTAGGATATAATGAAGTCCTGTCAACTATATATTGTTAAAATCTACTGACAGCATTGTATTTACATAAATTGAATTACAATCTAAGCAATTTACAATATATAAAATATATTCTATTTATCTTTTATGATCTAATATTAATTTGTACATTCTAACATATAATTATTTTTAGAAATCGAATACCAACCAGTTATTTATTTCTGTAGTTCTACAGGAACCTAATCCTTCTCTTGCTTTCAGTACAGTCTGCTGGTACGGTGTTACCTTCTGCTGTCTATCAGTGCATTCCTTTGACTCTCTTCATGTTTAAATGAGTGACTTTTAAACGTGCTGACATTTCACCTACTTTACAATTCACCTACATAGTGTGTGATGAAAACAGGTCCTGACTAGTAGAACAAAACAACGCTGGGAAAGATATATGCCAGCCCCGTAATGCATTTCATCACAAAGACTGTATATTAGTGATGTACCGAACGGTTCGCTGGCGAACGGTTCCCTGCGAACATAGCATGTTCGCGTTCGCCACGGCGGGCGAACATATGCGCGGTTCGAACCGCCCCCTATTCGTCATCATTGAGTAAACTTTGACCCTGTACCTCACAGTCAGCAGACACATTCCAGCCAATTAGCAGCACACCCTCCCTAGCAGACCCTCCCACCTCCTGGAAGGCATCCATTTTAGATTAATTCTCAAGCTGCATGCTTTAGTAAGAGGAGGGAAAGTGTAGCTGCTGTTCATTAGATAGGGAAAAGCATAGCTAGGTTAGGGTTAGGGTATGCTTTTTTTAAATTTATTTTTCTATGTAATGTAATTGCACTTAGTTGTCTGCCACTGCTGCCAGCTTCTGTGTCAGGCTCACAGTGCATACTGTGCCCATTTCCCCAGTCAGTGCCACCACTTACATCTGGTGTCACAATAGCTTGGATTTAAAAACAAAAAACTTTTTTCACTGTTATAGATTGAATAGCAGTCAGTTGTCTGCCACTGCTGCCAGCTTCTGTGTCAGGCTCACAGTGCATACTGTGCCCATTTCCCCAGTCAGTGCCACCAATTACATCTGGTGTCACAATAGCTTGGATTTAAAAAAAAAAAACTTTTTTTACTGTTATAGATTGAATAGCAGTCAGTGTCCTTAAAGCGGGTGTGTTACGCTAACAGTGGATACGGTGACCAGTGCCACCACTTAAATCTGGTGTCACAATAGCTTGGATTTAAAAAAAAAACACTTTTTTCACTGTTATAGATTGAATAGCAGTTAGTTATCTTCAAGCAGTTGTGTTACGCTAACAGTGGATACGGTGACCAGTGCCACCACTTAGATCTGGTGTCACAATAGCTTGGATTTAAAAAAAACAACACTTTTTTCACTGTTATAGATAGAATAGCAGTCAGTGTCCTTAAAGCGGGTGTGTTACGCTAACAGTGGATACGGTGACCAGTGCCACCACTTAGATCTGGTGACACAAAGCTTGTATTTAAAAACAAAAAACACTTTTCACTGTTATAGATTGAATAGCAGTCAGTGTCCTTAAAGCGGTGTGTTACGCTAACAGTGGATACGGTGACCAGTGCCACCACTTAGATCTGGTGTCACAATAGCTTGGATTTAAAAACAAAAAACACTTTTTTCACTGTTATAGATTGAATAGCAGTCAGTGTCCTTAAAGCGGGTGTGTTACACTAACAGTGGATACGGTGACCAGTGCCACTACTTATATCTGGTGACACAAAGCTTGGATTTAAAAACAAAAAACTTTTTTCACTGTTATAGATTGAATAGCAGTCAGTGTCCTTAAAGCTGGTGTGTTACGCTAACAGTGGATACGCTGACCAGTGCCACTAATTAGATCTGGTGTCACAATAGTTTGGATTTAAAAAAAAAATAATCTTTTTTCACTGTTATAGATTGAACAGCAGTCAGTGTCCTTAAAGCGGGTGTGTTACGCTAACAGTGGATACGGTGACCAGTGCCACCACTTGTATCTGGTGTCACAATAGCTTGGATTTAAAAACAAAAAACTTTTTTCACTGTTATAGATTGAATAGCAGTCAGTGTCCTTAAAGCGGGTGTGTTACGCTAACAGTGGATACGCTGACCAGTGCCACTAATTAGATCCGGTGTCACAATAGCTTGGACTTAAAAAAAAAAAAAACACTTTTTTCACTGTTATAGATTGAATAGCAGTTAGTTATCTTCAAGCAGGTGTGTTAATGCTAACAGTGGATATTGTGACCAAAGCTACCCACTTAGATCTGGTGTCACAATAGTTTGATTTAAAAAAAAAAAAAACTTTTTTCACCTCGTTATAGATTGAATAGCAGTCGCGTCCCAAAGCGGTGTTACGCTAACAGTGGATATGACCAGTGTGCTACCCACTTAGATCTGGTGTCACAATAGCTTGGATTTAAAAACAAAAACTTTTTTCACTGTTATAGATTGAATAGCAGTTAGTTATCTTCAAGCGGGTGTGTTACGCTAACAGTGGATACGGTGACCAGTGCCACCACTTATATCTG